AGTCATAACCGCCTTAACACAGATTTTCCTTTTGCAGATTTCGGCTGTTGATGATGTGGGAGCTCTGGAGAAGACAAAGGATCGTTGTCTTGCTCTATGTCGTTGACCCCATCAAACGCGTCTACTAAACGGCTCTTTGTGGGGTTTAGGTTGGCTGTGGTCGCCGCCTCGCCGCCTCCAGAGCCATCACAGTTGCCGCCGGACGGGACTTCCCCTGACATAAGTAATAAGTCGCTATACAAACTGGACTGAACCCAGTTGACCTGGCGACTGAGCGTCATTAGTGTGCTTAAGGCGTTGGCTTGTCCCTGTAAAAGTGACCGAACAACCTCGGCGTTTGCGCCAGACTTTTTCTCAATAGACGAAATCAACCATTCAAAAGTCAACTGGTGGGGCTTGAGTTTTTGCTCAAGCGCAAGAGACTCTAAGGTGTCGACACCATGCTGAGTGCCTGGGGAGAAAGCTCGTTTATCAGTCGAAGATTTTCTAGCCGTTTTTGCTGCCTGTATGGATCCCTCCACCTCCTTGACGATTCCCTAGGGATGGGGTTAGCGGCGCTTAACCGATTGGAATCTTATCATACAGTGAATTTAGCGGTTAGCCACTTCCAGAGGCAGAAATTCTGCCACCTAGTTCTGGCTGATTTTGACCCCGGACCGGTTGGCTCGAGCATTTTGCATACAAGGAACTTTCGATAGTTCGCGAATACATTCTCCGCTCCATCGATGCCTTTACAACCCGGGTGCTTCTGAAAGTACTAGAATAACGATCAGCTATTGGAGTGGAAAAGGTGGGAATATCGAAGGAATTACTCTAGCAAACAGCTGTTCAACAGTAACTTGTTTGAAGTTCCCAGAATTTCCAAATTCTAAAACTATATCCCAAACATGTGCCTTTTCCAATGAGCGATCAAAGTATTTGGTATATTCAGGCGCTGGTGTAATCGAGTACCAAGCCGCGCATCCGAGGGCCCAAATTGTGGAGTTCACTTTCGGGTTCTTGTACGATTCCAATGCGTATGTAAGAGCGTCCGTGACTGTGACTGTGGCTCCATGTACACCTTTGGCGAGAGCGGCGGCGGTCCTACTAGAAGCTTGTTCCTCTCCAATCACGGGAAGATCTGTTTTGGCAGCTGGTTAATATATAGTGTGTAAGTCGCGATGGGCCGTTTTGTTTACCTTTAACCATCTTGTTGAACTTGGCAGGTATTTTTGTAATGGTTCCGGTTATTCTCAAAGGTCCCATAAAGTGGGTATCGAGCAAATCGCAGAGTTCATCGGGTCCATCCGCCACGTGCCTGTAGACAACGGCATCAACTAACTGAAGTTGAGGCCATTCCTCGGTGTCGAGCTTCTTATCATAAGGTTTGAATATTTTAGTTTCCAACATCGTGTGTTGGTATGAAATACAACCAATTAGTTGCAAACCAAAAACCAGTGGTGTCAGTGCTAAAACGGGTGTCTGATAATGGAGTTGCTAATGATTCTATTTTCTCCTCGCAGAGTCAACTCGCCCGCCGATAAACAACACTTGTGCTTTGCACAGTTTTGAGGTAAAAGAGGGATAAGGTGTAAAGGTAAACAGGGAAGTCGATAAGTTCGTAACCGACTCAACAGTAGATTTATATATCGAGACTTCTGCTCGGGTAGCGAGAGTGTAGCGTAGTTGCGCGAGCGAGTCTGAACTCACTGGTGGGGGGCGTTGATGGCTGCAGAAGTGAGATGGGATCGTTGTTGAGGGAGATATTAACGAGCTCCCAAAACACAGGAAGATGCTAACCAAATTGAGCATTGTCACAGGGCTCGGAATGGCGACGTCCAAGGTAGGGTTACCAGATCAAGTCACGTGGTGTGCAAATCATAATATTATCAAGAAAGCTATTCCTGGTGAGGTCAAAAACTCGGACACCTATGAACGGTACGACCACAGACAATCAAAAAAATGACTTTTCCAACGGAGCTAACCACCTCTCAAAAAGCCTTAGACACCTAAGGGACAAGTTCTCGAGTTATCAAGATACTTCAAACCAGTCTACCTGTAGGCTCTCAAATTATTGATAAACCCGCTTGCTTCGTTGATATCTCAGGTTTACAAGTGTCCGGTTTATTAATCTTACAAGTGGTGGTAAGTGAGCGGCTTTAAGCCGCATTTAAGCACAAGTACCCCAAATTTCGCAACTTTTTGGCGCGTGTTTTGTCCTCCAATCTTCAAAAACTAAGCTTATAAAGTACCCGTATGGCTTCGGTCACTCAACGGTTACCAAGCCAATGGAATTTATGACTCTCGGGAGTCAATCGATCCTTTCCTCAAGCGGCGATACCATCGTCCCAACCCGGGCGTGGAGTCCCGAATATGGACGAAGGGATAATCGTCTCTCTGCTTTACTTATAAAAGTAAAAGCCTCCTCATTTTAGAACTCGGGGTTTAAGCTTCAATAGCAACTATAAGTAGTGAGTACGAATAGCAGATATTTCCTATTATCCTTTAGATTATAAAAAGCTATTTGTGGTATCATAAAACAGGTTTCACTACGGAATCTAATATCACTAGATATTGCAATCGAAATTTGCAGCAATCTTTCCACTCTGTTACTAGTATTGCGAATAGGGTTTCTTTCACTACTGTTTCACACTTACTTTAGATGTTGATTTGTGCTTATCACTGGACCAATGCAGTCCTACCTCTAGGACCCAGACGAGATAGGGGTAATTGAATTCATTAGACTTTACACTACCTCATTTTATATGCGCTTCCCGGTAGTCTCGTGGGCTCTTAGCAACGACCATACCCAACCAGTACTATTCAGTATGGTATACAAAACGCTTCCTCGGCACTTGTTGATTATGCTTTCACTGCTCTATTTTTCCCTTCTTTCCTCTCTCATGCTGCCGTGACCTGGTGGCTAAAAATGTTATGGATGATAAGGATGCTATACATTTGAGCTTTGTCTTTTCATAGCGCAGTATATATTAGGTTGCCTAATCTGGTTGGGAGTTGTAATCACACTTTGGTACTATATTACTGACCGCCGGTTATAAAACTCTGCCGGCAATAGCGGCTGGTAGGCATGTTACGAAAATTGCATGATATCTATATGCCGAACAATTGGTATCATAATATGAGTATGGTTTCATTATAACCTACTAATTGGTTTTTTTGGTTGTTGCTCGGAGAATGTATCATAATGAAACTACAAAAACACTTTTTTGAGATAAATGAGTTTTTAGTTTTTGCCACAGCACAACTCCTTCTCCTATACGAATAAATTGTTTAAAAATAAAGTAATTACATGAAAATTCAATTTTCAGTATTTTATATATATCTATGAATTAAATTATTTGTGAAGAGATTATTTACACCGTTTTACAGCTGCATTTATTTTTAGACCCGAGTGGTCATGTATGTCTCTTTGCCAGTAATCCTTATAATTCCTTCAGCTCAGCTACTTCCTCTGTTTAGAGCTTAAGTAGAATTAAATAAAACATAGAAGTAAGGAATAAAGTAAAAATTTTAATATGATTTAAACAAATTGATAACAGTTACACAGTTTAAAAGTATAAGCAATTCAGGGAAGACTTAGAATAGTTTCTGGATTTATGTTGTATGATACAAGGTCCTCTATACGATCTATATGACTATGCCAAAAAATAAAAAAATTAGGAGTTGGATGCCCATTTGTAGGTTCTAATAAAACCACATAATATTATATATTATAATTAATTTACCATACTAGCAAACAGATCAACCCACCAGTATTCCATCACCCCCGGAAGCCTCGTGTGTGTAGCTCCTTTGATACCTCTTCCCTAACACTTACCTGTCTACTCAGACTGCAGTAATAACTCTCCTCTTTCTATATGAGAGACATTCTCTCTCGCTTTTTTTCTTTTTCTTTTCAGCACTGAGCAATATCTCTACTGTTAAGGCTGTATACGTAGTTTAAGTAACGTGCATAGTTCACATTGTGCCGGAAGCGATAGTTGCAATAGGAAATATGTAGACCAAACCTGTCTCCAGAGTGGCTGCGTGCAAAGGTTCAGAAATTACTGAATCAGGCTAATTAGAATTGTTGACAGGCTTTTTTATCTTGCGACACGGATCCTTGAATACGAATAAGCTCCATGCAACCCCCCCCCCCCTTCAAGCTTGTGAAGCCTGAATGGAGGGGCCGGCATGATTGGGAACTTGGTGCAAGTAAAGCAATAGTTTCTATTGTTGTGGGAGTTTACGTTTCCTGTACTCGAGTACTGTGCTGTACGAATAAGTATACCGGTATACTTGTACTGTATTCCACAGTTACCTGAACAAAACTATTCATCATACGAGTAGTTTACCACGAGCTGGCACTCCCATGGTATTCCGGTAATACCGTGGCCACACCTGACGGTTGCCCCGTGGCACATCCAACCCCCTTAAAGTCATAGTTACTGGTATGTGCTAGATTTCTCTCTTATCAGATTCGACCGGGAGATTAGATCGAAATTAGGCAACGTTGAGACTACCGTAGCCGAACCCTTTTTCTTTCTATCGGTGTTCATAACTTTATCATACTTCACCGGGATCTTGTCCCTACCGTGTCTTTTTGGCGAGAATATTTATAAGTTTGTTGAGGGCGGAAAGGTTGGATACCCGGTTAGACCAGCCTTCCAAGAGCCCGTGGGATGCTGCCTGATTGTCTCCCATTCCCTGCATTTCGACACTCACAACCACGACACCAACTACTCTCTTCGCTTGCCTTTTGGTTGTCTCTTCCTCCCCATTCTTCCCTATTTCTTACGCATTTGAACTGTTCACCTGCCTCCATGGCTAAGGGTGAGAAGAAGGATCTCCCCCCTTCTCCTAAGCTTGCTGCCTCGCCTCCAGATCCTCCTTCACCAGCTACCGGTATCTCGACTGTTCACGCTTCTGGTGTTCCGTCGTCATTGCCACCAAGCGAGTCCAATCTTCGCTCTACATCGCAGGTATCATTAGTGTCCACTGATGTCACACCCCCTCCTCCCACTCAGTCATTCTCAAGCATGGAGCCGAAGATGACTGGAGGCTGCGTACCCCGTAAATCCAGTTACGCTGAATCACTGGTAAGTTTCGTTCGCTTCTGACACGAAGTTAAAGGTTGCTAAGTTTCTCCCTGCCTTACCGTATTTAGAAAGTGAGCTCCAAGGGTTGGTTTTCGCGAACAGGTACCTGGTCTCGATCTGGTGGGACAAAATCCGCTGCTATAAGAAAGGTAGCTTCTGAAAACGTGTCGAGGGAGCCAAGCATTGCTGGCGGGCCAAACAAAACGGAGGGAACAAGTGGGCTTGTGCCCGATGTTGGACCGCTTGAACCTTTACCATCTACAACAGGGCAAGCATCGGAACTCCCGCGGGAATCCACCCCTCCGCCGTCGCTCGAAGAGCCCTTGGCTCCTCCAGCTATTCCTACCAGTCTCAGTACCACTACTCTTCCAACTGCGGAGCCCTTTGAGGCTCAGCCGGAAGCGCGGCTGCCACTGTCTATGGAGCCCCTGAACAGTGCTAGTGATTCAGGAGATACCAAAGGTTCGCTAGATCCGGGGCCGGGAAATGAGTCCTCTGAACGGCCCGCATCATACTGGTTCGGTTGGTGGTATGGCCGACAGGCGATAGTTGAGCAACCCGTGCCAAAGTCGGAGGCCATAGGCGAAGGACCAGAAGAATCCCCAGTGGTTGAGATTGAGGATCCGGCCAAACTCGCCCCCCAGTCGTTGGAAACACAAGCACCATCCACGACGCAGCCGCAAACGCCAACTACGTTGACAACTCGGCCTACAGTGACCGCCGAACAACCGGAGTCTGTCGCCGATGCTGCCCCTCCAGCAGGCGGTTCCGGCGATGATGTAGCCACACTAAGGACTAAATCTTGGTTTGGCTGGTGGGGTGGACAATATCAGGAACTTCCCGTAGATCCACAAGGTGGGGATAGATCGGAAAATAGGGAGGCATCAAATAGTGAGTGTGTCGCAGATTGCGCACTATCTCAGCCTCGGGCGGTCCCTGGCGCGGAACCCTCTATCGGTCTCGAGGTACCGCTGAAGCCTGCCAACCATTCACAGACCAGTTCGAACTCCGTCACACCATTGTCACAAACTCCCGAGGCTTCGCAGATCACCCCGAAGACTTCCACATGGGCATTCTGGTCTAGGGAACGTTCAAAACCGTCCGACAATTCTCTGAATAGTAACTCAACGACGACGGTGGGTGAACTAGCTGTGGCTGATACACCATCCCAATTAAGCCCACAAAAGGCAAAGGCTAGAGAAATATCTCCGATCTCAATACCCGACCCCAAGATGACTCGGACCCTCAACAACTTGCGTGAGGAGTCCCGTCCAGGCACACCGAAGAAGGCGGAAGCAAACACTTCTATCGCGGCTACGGTCTCTGCCATCCCCAAACCAACACCATCCCCTTCACCGAGTAGTGCAAGCACCGCGAAGCAAAAGCTGCAAAAGATCTTGCCAGCGAACCATGTCCTCCCGAATTTTGATTCTTGCTACCGGCGCTTGAATCAGCCTTCTATTTTTTGTCAAATCACCAAAATCTTCAAGAGCCAGCCCCCTCCCAACAAGAAGCATCTTTACCTGACGCCCACACCTCCTAGGATCAAGAAGGCTGTTGCTATTGGGGTACATGGCTTTTTCCCAATGCGCCTGGTCCGAACGGTATTGGGGGAGCCGACGGGAACGTCGATTCGTTTTGCTAACTCTGCTGCAGCCGCTATAAAGAGGTGGGCTGAGAAGAATGGTGTTGAGGTCGAGATCGAGAAGATTGCTCTGGAAGGCGAGGGAAAGGTTGGGGACAGGGTTGAGATGCTATGGAAACTACTTGCAAACTGGATGGATCATGTGAAGAACGCGGATTTCGTGCTAATGGCAGCGCATTCACAGGGTGTGGTGGTGGGGGTTCAGTTATTGGCGAGGCTCATAGAAGAAGGGTGTGTGGACAAGGCAAGAGTAGGATTCACAGCAATGGCAGGAATCAACCTAGGACCTTTTTACCATCTCCCAACAACTATCTTGACCGGGTCTGCGAAGGAACTCTTCGAATTTCAGAGGCTGGAGAGTATTCCATCGAAAAAGTACATACAGGCCCTAAGGATCTGTCTCGCGCAGAATGTCCGGATCCTCTACGTTGGTAGTATAGACGACCAGCTAGTCCCTCTCGAATCATCAACATTCTCAAACATTAGCCACCCGTACATTTTCCGGGCAGTTTTCGTGGACGGCAGGGTCCATGCGCCGGATTTCTTGAGCCATCTTGTAGGATTCGCAATGAAATTGAGGAACCTTGGTATATCTGATCATGGCTTGGTTAGAGAACTAAGTTCTCCTCTGGCTGGAAGCTTATATGGCGGTGAGGGGCATTCCCGGATCTACGACGACAACGCTGTCTACGAGTAAGGTATCTCCACTCTTTAGCATGACGATCTCTTACTAACCTCAGCTTACAGCCTCGGCGTCCGTCACGCCCTGGAAACAACCGACTGCCCAGACGTCCCGCTAGGACTAGATACGTTCGAGCTGCCAACAAACAACAACAACCCCTTCCTCCTCCCCTGGAGCATGAGGGGCATGCTAGAGGAACCGCACGTAAAGAGCAAACTAGAAGGCGAGTGTGCTGAGCTACTCGATCAGTTCCAAAAGTGGAAACCTACCTCCAAGGTTCTTAAGGATGTCAAGTTTAGATTAGAAGGTATCAGGAGTAAAATTTGAACTTTAGATCTTCATATGGTGCACGCATGGAAAGATTGAGTGGGAGGGGATTGCTCTGGGATATACTACATTACGGAACGGCGCAAATTAAAAAGTGACTTTTTTTTTCTACATCCTCCGGCTGGTGCGATTGTTTGGGGGTCTCTATGTGTCGCGATTAGCTTAGGTGTTCTGGATTCTTTTTTTCTTTTTCTTTTTCTTTTTCTTTTTCTTTCGATGTAGGCATAGTTTCTTTTGCTCGCTCTCCACATTAACAGTATGAGTGGGCACAGTGCAGTAGTCAGGGTGTGACGCACGGGGAAGCTTCATGACTGATGATGGGTGGTATCAGATGAGTCACTAGTTCTGTCAGTTATTACTTGTATTATCCATTATTTATTAGTTATTTACGGTATTCCCACTTTTCATTCTACTCGAGTACCGTTCGATCACTCACCTCATTGGGGAGGTTTTGCCAAGTCGGTTTGCTATTGAACATTGCTTGGGTTTGAGCAAAGTACGGTTCTCTACTCGAATAGAGAGTGTTGATGTCTCGGCCTGGTCGACAAGATACGATAACAATAAAATTGTAATAACGAGATCAAAACTTGACGAGGGTATGCTACAGCTGGTTATATTAATATTTCCTATAGCACAAGTAGAGTACTTGTACAGTACCTGTACTGTACTGTACTAAGTTATTCTATTTAAACAAAAACAAATAAGGTCCTGTCTGGCCTAAATAATATCATAGCAAAAACCAACAGGACTGATACCGACTCCAGTGTTATATATATATAGATAAATGTTGGAAATATCCTTACAATCGAGAGAGGCATTGAAAGCAATCACACATTTGAATTATTTCGTGATGGTAACATTCTCACCGCCATCAAATTTGCCGCGAGGGCGTACGATAAGGTGCAGACTAACTCGTAGCAAATCCTACAGAATTCAATACAATACACTCAAGAAATACCAATCACAGTTCAGAACATTTTTTTTCCCACAAACTCGTAATATTATCATAATCAAAAAAATCCGTCATCACAGAAGAAAAGACCCACTCACTAACTATCCCACCCAATCGCCCACCCACTACTTATACTTATTCCATATCCGCACCAAAATCGGGGTGGTACTCCTCCCCGCCGTCCACTTCCCTGAAACTCGGCACGTCGACCGTCAAGAGGTACAGTGACTCCTCCAGAAGGAACACCACTAATAACTATATTGTATAAAAATAAGTTTCTGGAATTATTGTTGGGGGATTTTTTGATCTTTTTTTTTTTTTTTTCCTTACAAGAGAGATTAGGTCCATTACGGTATTTATTTATTTCAACTTTTTTGAGGTTTGGGAAAGTGTTGTTTTTTTGTTTTTTTTGCCGAGGTTTGTTGGATATTATTGCGAAAAAAGAAGGAAAGAAAGAGTCCTATGATAGGGGGATGAGGAAGGGGGGGGGGGTGAGTTCTCATAGTTTTTATATAGGGTTCTGGTAGGAGTAGAATTACGCAGAATGTATGATATGTAAATTTGAGACGTGAATGTCGGACCGATTTCCTCGCTTCAGTTGGTTTCGTTACTTCTTCACGGGCAACGGGTCGACTGGACTCGATTGTCGTCGGTATGATACCTATCCTACTCTTGCGGAAGGGTGCTTACTAAACGCGATATCGCTGTTGGAATGGTGAGAGAGCAGTCTACGGAAAGATAACGTCACGGGTTGGGAGAGGTATAATACTCGAGTATAGTAAAAAGTTCAAAGCCGGTATGAGTGGTCCCCGGGAAATCGAGTCACTACCTAAGAAATACCAGCAAATGACATCTTTTGAAACTGAAAAACCTTTTTTCAACAGATATCATACCATCGGCAGGGAAATATAACCATCGAAAAGAAAAAAAAAAGTGGAAGGATTACTTACTCGACCTTTTCATCTATCGTAAAACTGTGACGAAAAAAAATAAGCTGAAAAAAAAAAACCCCCCGGAAAGGGTAAATGTAATGAGATGTAATCTTTCTTACAAGTACTAATTAAAAAAAAAAAAAAAAAAGAGTTTTTAATCCCGAGTCGGAAAGGATTTCCGTGTTGGTCTGTCCCTGCCTTCCACTTGCATAAAAGAAGAAAAATCACTAAAACCTTCTTCACCCTAGGTCTCCGAAAGCATGATGCGTAGGGGCTACAAGTTACTTCCGGATTTATTTCTTTTTGCTTTTTCAAATTTATTTGGGTCACTTGTAGGAAAAATGGAGAGACCGGGAGTATGATACTTTTTGCTGTTTGTTCGTTGATACTCGTATGTTAAAAACCTTTTTGGATGGTACTAGTACTGTACTATAGGCTAATACAAGTACATAATGGGAATGGGAGGAGTGGTAATGTACGAGTATGATAACTGTAGTCCTAAAAAGAATGCTTGGAGGTTTGTGGAGTTTTTGATGCTCCCAGTTAACACAAATATCATACCTGGCGTTGGTTCTAAAAAAAAAAAAATATATTGCCACTTTAATTTGCTATTTCCACTTCTATCTGCAACGTGACAACGCGCAGAACAAACAATCGAACACCAAGCAAATGGTTTTTTTAAAACAGCAACTGCGACAATTCCGGTGGCATTCCAGACACTTCTTGAGGAGCAAAGTGTTCGGGAGGCATGCAGAAATTCCCCTATCAACAAGGAAAGGTATATAGGGGAAGGGAAATGACGAGTGATAGGGTATGATTGACTAGCCTTGAAACTCCCTATCCTGCATTTTGATCAATTCCTCAAACGATAGTAGAAATACCTCACCCTTCAACACGAACTGGCTTAGCAGAGATTACCGGATGGTTTCAAGCCCCACGAGAGAACCCCCCCGTCAGTATGTTGACTATGGTACGTAAAAATCAAGAACATATTCGCGAGGAAAAACTCGAACTCCTCGGAAAGCGAAAAATACTCCTTCCATCCACCCCGCCCCATCCCATCCCAAGCCCAAGCCCTTGGTATTTACGAATGTGAGAAAGAAAAACAGAAAAGAGAAACAGACTTTGATTGGCACAGCCTATCTTCTCCCACCACGGCCCCCTCTCCCGGCACCACCCATACCACCCATGCTACCCATCATACTAGCAAGATCCGGCATACCCCCGCCGCCGCCCACCATTCCGCCAAACTGCTGCATCATCCTCGCCATGTCCATCCCCGCGAGCGGGTTCCCGCCACCACCACCGGCGCCTCCCATGCCAGGCATGCCGCCAAGCGCCTTCATCATCTCCGCCATGTTCCCACCGCCAGGTCCCCCTAGACCTCCTCCCATGCTTTGCATTCTCCGCTGCATCGCGGCTAATTGTTGCTGCTTGTTGGGTCCGTTCATGCCCACACCTTGCTTTTGCATATTTGCCATGTTCTTGCCCATCTTTTTGGCCATGCCGGCCATCATTCTGTGCTGTGTTAGGACGTCTTCTACCTCACGGACGGTAGTTCCCGAACCGTGAGCTATGCGGGTCATGCGGGTCGGTTGGTCGGAGAAACATTTCCCGTCTGAATCGAGCTCTTTTTCAGTCATTGAGTCCATTATATAGCTTTTAGACGGTTAGTTGGTTCCTAGATCGAGGGAGGCAGCTAGTGGTGGAGGAGGATGTACATCATTCTTTTCAACTTCATGCTTCCCTCCTCATCACCGACATCGCCCATCATTTGCGATAACCCGGGAATCATCCCAGCCATTTTACTCAGAGGTCCCATTTTCATGATATTGCCGAGTTGATCCCTTAAATCTCTAACCGTGAATATACCTTCCTGGATATGCTTCATTGTATCCTTCTGGTCCAGCTTTAGGCTCTGAACGTGCTCTACCAGACCTTGCATATCACCCATCCCCAGCAACTTGGAAACAAATGCCTGTGGCGCAAATCGCTCGAGATCCAACATGTGCTCACCAGTGCCAATAAACATAATTGGCGTTCTAGTAGCAGCAACTGCAGATATCGCACCACCACCCGCCGCATGACCATCCGTTTTTGTGATAATAATAGCACCAAAATTCGCACTCTCCTTGAAAGCTTTACTCTGAGCCTCTGCCGCCTGTCCAATAGATGCATCTAACACCATGATGGTCTGATCCGGCGTGACAGCCTGCTGAATCTGCACCATCTCAGCAAAAAGCTCCTTTTCCTGCTGATGTCTTCCTGATGTATCAACAATGATGATGTCGAACCGCTCCTTCTTGAATTTCTCCACTCCCTCCCGCGAAACCTTCACAGGATCCGTCTCGGTATAAGACCCGTAGTAGGGGATTTTGGCTTTCGTAGCGTTCTGCTTCAATTGGTCAAATGCTCCGGCTCGAAAGGTATCCGCGCAGACAAGACAGGCCTTAAAACCTCGAGCTTGGTAATGTCGGGCGAGCTTCGTACATGTTGTGGTTTTACCGGATCCTTGGAGACCGACAAACATGATGACATTGGAGCGACCTTTCTTCGGCTTGAATGGTTCGCTATGTGGGTCGACGAGTTTGACGAGTTCATCAAAAACAGCCTAAAGGAAGAGCATCAAGAATCGAGCTTTAAGCTGTAATGTGGAGATGAATACCTTCTGGATTAACCGTTTCTTGTTGACGTTCGGATTGAGTTCTTTGAAGTTTACCGTGTGCTTTATCGATTTTCGGAGGTTGCTGACGAGCTTGACATTCACCTGCGCGCAAAGTTAACCACCAACTATCCGGGTAGAAAGTCGCAACTGGGTTCCGTACATCAGCTTCGATTAAAGCCGAGCAGATCTCCTTAAGCATCCCATCAAAAACCTAAGCGCCATCAGCAGAGCCCTCCTCCGGAGGTGGCGCTAGAACCAAACCTTCTCATCGACAACATTAGACCGAGCAAGGTCGGAAACCGCACTTGTAATGCGCTTCCCTAGATCAGCGAGAACCATAGTTAGGGGATTGTATGGGAGTTAATGTAGGGGGGGGGGTGCAAAGCGAACAAATAAGATGCGAGAAGATGCAAAAGTGTCCATCGAGGCAGCTATGGATAGTTAGACCTAGAACCACTTGCATTGCGGCTCAATGTTACCCGGCTCAACCCTACTGCCAATCCAACCCACCACCATTTATTTTTTTCCTTATGATACTTGTACTATGATATGTTCTCCCAACCTCTCACAGGCAACTCAATGAGCAATACCCGAAATGTCCGCAGTCAATTCCCCCGAATCTTCGGCTCTCACACGAACAAAACGTCCCAGAAAAAATTCTTCCACTACTAAAAAGGACTCCTCGAAAGCACTAGAACCCAGGTCCCGGGAGGAGGAAAAGACCGCGCTGAAGCAGTATGGCCGTGGCGAAAGCATACCCGTTCGCTCAGTGCGGGACAGGAAATTACGAGCCAATCTCAAGAAGATTGAACACAGATACAAGGATGCTGCGCTGAAGGCCAAAGATGCGGAGTTGCTGCTTGGGGAGGAGCGGGGATATGTTGAGGCGGAGGGGATGGAGAGGACATATAAATTTAAGCAAGCGGATCTACGGAAGGCGGTGGATGTTGCGACTGCTCAGAAGGTATGGCTTTCTCCCAGGATTGAAGACCGGAGATTAACTTTAGGTGAAGGGATTCGAATTGAAGCTACCTACGTTCGGCCCGTACTTTATGGACTACACTCGCAATGGGCGATATCTGCTCCTCGGTGGGACAAAGGGTCATGTCGCATCATTCGACTGGCGGGAAGGAAAGCTGGGTTCGGAAATGCAATTGAAAGAAACCGTTCGAGATGTCAAGTTTGTCCCCTCTCCCTCCATTACAATCCTCAAACCCTCGAAGTTAACTATTGATAGATGGCTTCACAACGAGCTCTTCTTCGCAGCAGCCCAAAAAAGGTACACATACATCTACGACTCTCAAGGTGTCGAAATCCACTGCTTGAAAAACCACATTGAAGTAACCAACATGGAATTCCTACCTTACCACTTTCTCCTCGCAACAATCGTCAGTCTCTCCCACCCCATCTCCACTAGAGTGGACACTAACTGTACCCCACAGGGCAATGCCGGCTGGCTAAAATACCAAGACACCTCCACAGGAAACCTCATCAGTGAACACAGAACCCGCCTCGGCAGCCCCACCTCCATGACACAAAATCGGCGCAACGCCATAATCCATGTCGGTCACGCAAACGGCAGTGTAACCCTCTGGTCCCCAAACATGAGCACACCACTAGTGAAAATGCTCACCCATCGCGGTCCCGTGCGCGCGATAGCCATCGACAGAGGGGGGCAGTACATGGCAACAGCAGGCGCAGACTCTCGGATGAACATCTTCGACATCCGCACCTTCCGTGAAGTCCACTCCTACTACACCCCGACGCCTGCCTCCACCCTACACATTTCCGACACGGGCCTACTCAGTGTCGGCTGGGGCCCCCACGTAACGATATGGAAAGACGCCCTCAGGACAAAACAAACAAGCCCCTACCTCTCCCACCTACAAGAAGCCTCGCACATCTCCCGCGTGCGATTCTGCCCATATGACGACATCCTAGGCGTCGGCCATCAGAACGGCTTCTCAAACCTCATCATCCCCGGTGCCGGCGAACCGAACTTCGACGCGCTCGAATCGAACCCCTACGAAACCATCAAGCAACGCAGGGAAAGTGAAGTCTCTGCCCTACTCAACAAACTACAGCCCGAAATGATATCCCTGGATCCGGACTTTATCGGGCGCATCGACAAGGGCAGCAAAGAACTGCGCGAGAAGGAAGCCGCGGAAGAGCAACGGAAGCTAACCGGGAAGCCGAACGTCCTAGTCAAGAATAAGATGCGAGGGAAGAATTCCGCCCTCGGGAAGTACCTTCGCAAGAAGAGTGGGAAGAACGTTATTGACGAGCGAAGGTTAAAGCTGGAAGAGCTTAAGAAGGAGAGGGCACTCAGGAATAAGGGGCTGCCGGCTAGCGCGCAGGAGGAGTTTGGACCCGCGTTGGCAAGGTTCGGGAGGAGGCCGGGGAGGTGATGTAATTTCACATTCCTCGTTTTGTCACGGAGTGAAGGGAGGTTCATCTATAAAAAGTTCTTTTTCTCTCTTCTTTCCGTTCGTTCGTTTGTACAATATTTTTGATTAATCTGACCGAACCTTCATAACTGATAATCCCGCCGAGTGATTTTCCGTGAACATGATACAACACAGGATACCAACCAGTAGACGGAAACAAGTTAGGCGATGAATGGAGAGGGGAAAAAAAAGTACAGAAAACAAATATCCAAAAGAGGAATTTAGTAGCCATCAACGTCTATCCCTCCTCTCATATCTATCTCGACTCCTCCTACGATTATCCCGCTCATCCCTGCTCCTGTGCGACTTCTCCCCACGTTCGCGATGACGGTCACGATCACGGTCGCGCTCTCTATGATGATAGTTATGGTGACGATGGCTATCCCGATGATCCCGGGAGCGGTCCCGCCGACGATGATCCGGATCATCACGAGCACGCTCTTGGTCTCTTCCATCCCAGCGGTCCCTATCCACACCACTACTACCACCACCACTGCCCGCACCCTTCCCATTCTCCACCACCGCAGACTCATCAACGACCCTGCCGGTCTTCTTATCGACCAGTACTACAGGAACATACGTAGTATCCACCCTCTTACCGCCCCGCTTCCTCCCGGACTTATCGGCCTTGCCCCAAGTGCCGAGTTCGGGCACTTCCTCCTTTGCTTTCGCTCCGATTCCCAGGAAGGCGGGTCGTTTTTCCACGGTGCGAAGCTTAGCCTGCTTCGCTGAGCCTCCGCGCGCGCCAAGTTCCATCCCTTCCCGCCAACCCATTCCCCGTAGCAGCGCCGCGCCAAACTCCTCAACGGGGACAGCAGCGTAGTCGTCCAGGGTGGGCACGTCCGGGCGGGAGGCCACGTCGGATTTGTAAGCTTGTTGCTCGTCGCGCCAGTCGGCATTTCCGGCGGAGGAGGAGGGGGGGAGGATCAGTGTTGTTGAGGGGGGTTTTGAAGAATTGGAGAGGAGCGCGGCGAGGGCTTGTTCTTCCTCCGTTTTTTCCTCCACGGCTTCCCCCCCAGCCTGCTCTGGAGGCGGAGGTGGTGGGGTTCGGTTATCCTCCGTAGGTCTCTGAAAAACCTGCAATCCGTAGTGCACCCCCGCGCCCGTATCCACTTCCATCGCTTCCTCCCCCTCCCCCTCCGCGTGGCCCGCGAACGCCTCCGGGGGTAACCAGACACTCCCCCTCCCTCTCCTCCGCTCGGCTTCAGCCCTCCAATCACGGTTCTTCAACGTGCTGATGACCAGTGGTCCCTTTTCCTCCTCCTCAGGTTCCTCACCCACCGCACCACCACGAGCAGCGTCGAACGCGGTTATCACGTGCACTTTCTCGCGGTGGTTGTTGTCATCGTCGTCTGAGTCTGAGTCCAGGTTTGCTGCCGGGCGTTTCTTGCTCAGGGGTTGTTTGGAGGCGACGGGAAGTTTTGGAGCGGCGAGGGAGATAGAAATCGGTTTGGACATTTCCGATCTTTTGCCCCGGGGTTGTTGGTGGTGGTGGTGGTGGTGGTGATTAGGGGGGTTGGGAGGTTGATAGTTGTGAAAAAATTTGGGTGGTCATCAGTATGACACTAAATCGAATGATCTTTGCCAAGACTTTCCACGCATCACCAGCCATCACTCGATAATTACTAATTAGAATGGTTTCTACATCAAAAGTTATACACACCGGTATTGCTTCAATATGATGAAAATTACTCATACATGTCCAGGCACCTCCTGTGCAAGGCCTGACAACAAGCTACGGAGCAGTTACCTGAAGTTAACCAGCAAAGCATATCCCTGTCCGTTCCTATCAATGGCTTTCCTACCCTTATATCATACTTGAGTATCATACAAGCACCGGTACTACCCGGCGCGGTGCATCAAGATCCAGCAGAAGATGTCGAGAGTCACTACCTCCCACAATACCGGTACCGATACTCGAGTACACATACCGCATCGCACAAGGACTCTGTCTTCAAATCCCCAGCTCCCATGCACAACCACCGACTTCCGACAACTTCCGGCCGTGGCCGGGCGTGGGGCTGAGGAGTAAGGCGATGCGAGGTGAGATCACTATCCGCCTCAGCACATCCACAAACAAGCAAAAAAAAAAGAAGCAAAACCAATTCAGGTGCTAACACGCACCGCCCATGACTTGACGGTGGAAGGGAGGGAGGGAAGGAGGGGAAGGCTAGAATGCTGTCGTGATACCGGAGCTGCAGAGAAGGAAAAAAAGAAGAAAAAGTAATATACTGGCAAGGATCGGGATGACCTTTTTTTCGTTCGTGGGCGGTTGGTCACGTGTGTATGATTAAGGATGTTACTTCATTGCGTTTGTTATTGCGTGAAGGGAGATCGTGAGATCGTGAGAAGCGATGGAATGATACATGTAAGGGGGTTAAGAAGGAGAATACAGAGTAGTTATGTTACAAAGCACCCTAGAGACTATACAAGCAAAACCGAATGATAGAAAATCCTTAATACGCCAATTTTTTCTTTTGAAAACCCATCTAATGCGCGAGTGAAGTGACCACAAGCGAAATGAAAAAGAGTAGGATACAATAGAACAGAGTAAATGGAAAAGAAAAGAAAAAAAGAGAAGGGGGCGATCAAGATTCCTGATACACCGGTGGGCAAAACAAAGCCACTCCCTCTTCGCCCTCGACTTCAAGGACAGTCCCATAATTCGGCGGTGAAGCAGGTATATTCTCATACACGGGTGGAATCTCCTCGTCCCAGCTGATGCCCAGGCCGCTACGCTCGGTGACGATCAGGTGGAATTGCATGCGAAGGACTCTAGCGGCGCCGGTGGGGTTTGCGACTCTTGATGGTGGAACGGGGCACTAACCCGACCATCAGTACATTTGCCAAGAGACATAAGGAAATTGGGGGGGGGACAAACATGTTCTTCCGCAACGATCATCTCCACAACAAGGTTGTGCGACACCGAAATTCCGCAAGGCGAGTCCACATCGCACGCAGCGTCCGCGTGCGCGTGGATTCTAGCGTTGAATTCAACCTCGATGCTCCCATCCGTGGAGTTGAAATCCGACTTCCAGCCACTCTTGACCTCGCCGGAGCCCACCGTGCGCACGTCGTCGTGTAACAGACCTTTACCGTCACCACCGAGCTTGCCGCTATGCTGTTTACAAGCTGGGGAGACAACGCGGGAGGTCTCATCGATGCGCCAAGACAGCCTCTTTAATCGCCAACGGCTGGTCCGGGCTTTCGAAAGGACACCGTCGAGGCGGATATGGAGCGGAAAATCGCCACCGGGGTGCGCAACGGGTGGGAGGGTGACATTGGCAGAGAGGTCCGTCGGCGGGAAGACGCGGGTGCTGTGCCTGTCCGGTCCTGGTAGGACTGCCCTTTGTAGAGTTATCGGCTTCTCAAACTTGATCTCGTCACCTTTCATCGTTGTCGCGGTTGCGTAGAGGCAGTAGGTTATCCTGCTGAGGGCGTTGTTGTTGCTGGCAGGGAGGTGGCCAGGCAGGAGGTAACTGAACGGATAGGTGTGCGTTCCTTTCTTCAGCACCACTGGTTCGCTGATCAATTGCCATTTGTGTAGCTCGCTGACGCTGGTGGTGCAGTCCGAGCAGTGCGCACCCACGGGCTTTTTAGTGAGCACGTCCGCTAGCAAGCGCATGGTGAAGGCTTCAAAGGTTTGCTCTGTCTCCTTGACCTGCAGTTTCATTATTCCGGACAACAGTGCGCCAGTGGACTCCTTCGGCGGGCCATAACAGACGAGCGGTGGTGATTCAATGGCCACGGTTATGTCCGCAGGATTCTCGATGAAGCCCTTTAGGCCTCCTCGACTGCTGCTGCCCCTGGACATGGTGCGGATCGTAAGCTTTGGTCGGTCGCTCTCGGAACTTGAGCGGTTGCTTGACCAGCGGCGTTTCGGCGCTGGGTGTTTACTGTCGATTGGGAGGATTGAAGTCATGGACGTGGATGGGGATGCCCCGTGGTGGAAAAATCCGATTACTGGCATTTGGGATGTGAGGTTCTGGTAAATTGGCATAAAGTCGATTTCTCAGAATCTCTCGGATGTAGTAAATTTGTTCGTTTTTGCAGTGTGGATTCCTCGGAAGAGAGAGAGGGGGAATGACCAGAATTCGGAGTAGAGAAAGGATCCTTCTGTAAATTGCAGTTGACCTTGTAGGTAATAGGGCAGGAGTGCACGTAGAAGCTTTCGTTAAGTGTAATGGCAGAACTGCAACAGTGTTGTTGTAGTGGGGTAGTAAAGATTCACCGATATAAAGTTATCCTTGTTCAGACTCTGCTCAGATCCTGCTTAGGGTATGCACTGTAGTAGTGGCAATGGGGAAAGGAGAGCAAAGTCAAGGTTTTTTTAGCTCCTCGAGGGGACGTTCAATTCAATCGGGAAGTAGGAGCGAAGCCGGCGGGTAGTTAAGAGATCTTCTGACGCAGAGCTTTAGCTTGCGGATACATCCTCCGCAATACTAATGCGATTGCGGTCCGATATAGGGTGTGTGTGTGCGTGAGCGAGTGGAATAGAAAGAGCCCTTTCCTGCTTATTGAATTTCTGGTTGGGTGTGGCAATTGCGGATGGTAGCACGGGGTATGATAGGTGACGAGGGAAATGGGTCGGTTTGCACCTTTATGTGGGAGTTAGAGGCAAAAGGCTGTCCTAGATGCAGCCGCGCTGCGCTGTGCTAGAAATGCTGTGCCCAGACCGAGCTCGACTGGAACGACGAACGGAGGGAGAGTGCCACGGTAGAGGGCAATTTGCTCCAGGGAGCTGAAAGCTGATGATTATGAGATGTTCGCTGTATGCCCTCGTGGTTGGCTAACCTCAGCCAATCCAATCTTGGACGAGAGGGTCGGATAAGACGACCGGCGAGGGAAGAGGGAGAGAAGCAGGAGACAGGAGAAGGCCTTTGGAATAGGAGCTGTGCTACGGTAGGTGAGAGGGATGAAGTCCTCTATATAGTTGCGCTTATAGTATCACAATATTATAGTAATAGCACAGGTAAAGTATCAGAAGATGAGGGGAAAAACAAAAAAACATGTGGATCATGGTACTTGTATCATAGCTAACTAAATACAAGTGATCTACCACCAGCAAAGGCGCATGTGTGTCTGTGTCTGTGTGTGTGGTCGCCTTCAAACGACGAGCAAAGCAAGAAAGGGTAGGGGGGGGTACCGTAGCCTCATTACAGTAATTATCACCTCACCACCCATAAATCCCTTCTGCAGGAGGTCACGATGCTGTGTTTCCACCGGTAAGGTTACCGTAGAGTACCGTAGTGACCAGCCAAGCATCATACTGTACTGGTACATACCATACAAGGCAACGCCAAAACCCTTCTCCCAATCCACTCCTTTACTCGTACAGTACAGTTAGTCTACAGCAAGATCTAGCTACGAGTGGGAATAGAAATAATGCTTTTTTTTTCCTTTTCCTTTCTTTTCCTTCCCACTCCCCCTCCAGGTATGATAACTTAAGGTACCGCGTTCCACCGGATATCCCCAACCATGGGAGTATGCTACCGGGACATCAATGAGGGTTACAACCTTGGAAATGACGAGTGAATGAGTGTCCGGAGAAGGAAGGAAGGGAGAAGAAAAGAAAAAAGAAAAAGAAAAAAAAGGACTTGCTAGCACAAGTACAGCTAGGGTAGACTAGCTGCTAAAACCTACTCGTACAGTGCTCGAGTATGTACGAGTAGCAGCCAGCTAAGCTACCCCAGGTTTTCCATTACGTATGGAATTGTTCTTTTTAAAAAAAAATTTGGAGGAAGAAAAAATAACAATCCCCCCCCCCCACCAGGGTTAGTTCCCGCCGCTAAGAACTATACAAACAAGGGAATCGCCTACCCTTTTTCTTTTTCTTTTCATTCACTTTTTCACTTCCTTTTTTTCTTTTCACTCTTTCACAACTCTACGAGTAGTCTCCCTCCCGAAGGAGAAGGCTGGTGTGCGCGCTACCGTGGTGTAATTCGTGCGTTTTGGGAGCTCTGGACCGACTCAACGTTACTCGTACTCGTAGGGCCGAGGAGGGAAAAGAATGGGGTAAGTACTATATCATACTTCGTGTATACTCGAGTAGAGGGAAAAATGAAAGGAAATGGCGAGCCACAAAGCCATCCTCACCCGCGCAAAGCACTATACAAGTAGTAACGGTACTATACTCGAGTACTGTACGGCACCGGTACGGGTAAGTTGGTGTACAGTACAGTACTATTCAAGCACCTTGTATGTAAATATCAATTGCTCCAATTCGCCTTTCCCTGTCCGTCCCTCATCACCATACGGTACATACCCGGTAGGGTCATTTACTGTAAAATCGGAAAAGGCGATCCCCGCTGAACGGCGAGACCATATCAAAGATTGGAAATTAAAGGTCTTATGGAGGGACACAAGCAACTGGGAGTACCGTAGCTACCAACCCACGATACTTGTATCCTTATACAGACGGGTTCACTGCGATTATCAAACTCCCTCGGAACCTTTGATCCTGATCCTGATCCATCAGCCGTCACTTGCCCAATTGAGTGACTTCCAGTTTCAAAGCGACCGGTCTGGGTTTTTTGACTCCTGTAACACTGTAAGGTTCTCGAGCACAATAGTACAGTACCAGTGCTTCTCCCCGGACAGCATGATCGTCCGATCACGGCTTTCGATTCCTGATGAACCCCCGAGCACAGTTCTCCCCGCTGGGAGAAACATGCAGGGGAGTGGATGCCAGGACGGTGGATACTGCGCGCTATGATGTATGATTCTCCTCGGCTAGGTACGGTAACCTCGCGCCATTCTGTGGTCATTCACAGCGAGAGATCACGAATACCAGTTACGAGTAGTCTACCCTAAGGGACATTCCTCCACGAAACAGTCGAAACAGGAGAACCAAAACAAATAAATATAAGCCTTGCCATGTTCCTCCTCCTTGCTTTTTTCTCCCCCTTTCCCTGATGAATCCCCTAACAGCAACTGCATCCTAATTTCTGGTTCCCGTCGACATTTCCGTCATCGGTGGCGATGGTAGATGGGAAGGGAAGGAAAGGCTTGCCTGGTCAGTGCGAATCGGAACCGAGCGAGGGCCTCTTCTTTGGCTGGTGGGTCAGTCGGTCAGTCGGTCGTCTGACTCAACCAGCAGCTACTCGAGTACCGTACCAGTACCGGTACGGTATTCCAGCTCCGGGGAGTAATCGGGACAAGCCTCATGCAGTCTAGTGCTTTCTTTACCTTTCTGAAAATACTCGTATCATACCTTCTCCCCTTCTCCCTTCTCCCTTCTCTTCTGCCTGATGGGTGAGGCGAGCGGGCGGATACCGTAACCGCACTCTAACGTGCACTTGGCGCCATCCCATCGAACCCTCTCTTTCTCTCTACGAGTACTCGTACAGTACTCGAGTGCAAGTATGATATGATACCGGTAATTTACAGTATCCCTAACAAGAGCTTTGTGCTGCGCCTTGCCATATGCAGTATTCTACGGAAGCTTTAGTAGACTCGGTTGATCATAGCCTCAAGCAGAGCACCGGTACCCAACACGGACTAAATTGCTCCAGTTCGTACTCGTACTCGTACAGTACCGTATTGTGGAATGAATGACCCCGTCGATCCATCCATGGTAGCACGTTCTTCCCTCTCTTTGTTTTGTTTCCCAATTCTACAACACTTCTGCCAAAGGCCTGCCGATCCATCAAAGCAAGGAATGGGAACGAGCATATACTCGAGTACTGGTACGGTATTAAATTTTTCACCAACACGGCTGGCGGTCAGGCTCTCGCTTGTCCTGTTCATTTAGGCCCCCTCGTATCCCATTTCCATTCCAATTCCATCGTCACGAGGTGCGTGACGGGCTGAGTGGCCAGCTCTCGGCCTGTGTGCGGTGTGGGCTTTTGTGGGAAGTTGTTAGGTAATTTGGATGCACAAGCGTCCGCCCCACGGGTTCAGGTTCAGGTATCGTGGGTTGGTTGTTGGGGGAAGGCAGAGAGGGAGGAGGGGAGGGAAGTGAAGGGGAAGGCCCACGATGGCCGTTTCTTTCGAGCTGGTTTAGGCATGAATGCAGTTACCGTACTCGAGTTACGGTTCCCGGTGGGAAGGGTCCGAGCAGAAGTGGAGCAAAGAGGGAGGTTAGAATAATCAGATAATAACGAATCGATCTCAGATTTCGTGTGAATGTTAAATTAATACCGTGCGGTACCGGTAATCCCCAATTTCTCGTCGTCGTCGTCGCCATAAATATTTGTATTGCACCGCGAGCAAACTCCGATCGTGGACGGGATTGAAATTTAATATCCGAGTATTCATGGGGTAAACGAGTAAACAAATAAATAATTCCTCTGCTCCCTTTCCTGACATCATCCCCAATACCTGTTAAACTGAGAAAGAAAGAAGGGGAAGAAAAAGAAGAAAAGAGGAAGAAAAAATACCTTCCGAATCAAGCCACAAAGCCCCAGACCCCGTAACTTGCGGGGAACACATTTCCAAGGCTTGGCATGAAAAGCCCTACCGTACCGTAGTAACCGCCCGCTAGCTCCGCGGAACCCACGAGGGAAAAGGGAGATGGCCGAAGCTTCCTTTTCCATTGTCTCTCTCGTCTCGTCCTGTCCTGTCCGTGCGAGTTTTTTTTAAAAAAAAAAAAAAAAAAAAAAAGTAACTCGTCCTGTAACGAGCAAGCAGGCAAGCACAAGGGGAAAGGGCATTACGTAAAAATGCCCTTTCAACCCCCTGGGAAACTGGTAAGGGTTAGCCGGGGAGCGAGCGAATGGGATGTCGTAGTGGTGTGCACGGGGTTTGGGTTACCACTGTAAATTGGTTACCTTACTGGGTTTTGCTTTTCTTTGTGCGGTGCTGTGCGGTGTGTTCGGTTGGGGCTGCTTCTTGGTTTTTTGGTTGCTCGAAGCTAGTCTACCGATGTGTGGGTTGTGGTAACTTAACGGGCAATACAGTTGTTGCTATGGTGTCATAGTTGGGGGGAGATTTGTCGATTGTTGTTCGAATTACGATGATGGGAAGTGTGCTTGGAAGGGGGCATGTCTGTACTTAGGAGGGAATGGGGGGGGGTAAACTCGGACGTCATACTGGTTTAACAAGGCAGGTTTGGTCGAGCTCGTTGCAAAAACACGATCGATCAAAACTTGGTTGAATTGGCCTTACCGTGGAAATTGGAGTACGACTACCCTACAAAATGTCGAGAGTCTCGAGTGAGCAGCCGTGATCTGGGGAGGAAAGGGATTTCCCGATTCCCGTAATCGGTATGATACCTGTCGGCATTTCTCTCTCCTCTCTCTCGCAAAGGCGTTTGTCGAACCACGGCAGATGAGAGCCGGAGTCTGGAACCGGCAGAGGTCTAGAGCGCAAAGTGTATATTTTATAACATGCTCAGGGCTTTGAAATGCAAGCCGCGCGAAGTACTGTACTCGGAGTGTCAAGGCGCTTTTAAAGGGGAACTGCTGCTACGCATGCACAACCACCGAGATCCAAGCAAAGGCCAAAACTTTGGTGGGTTATCGGTGGACGGTTATGTGATACCGGTAAATGCTTCGACAATACCGGTAAGTTCTTGTTATCATACGGTGCGATACTCGTACGATGGAATGCTAAGCTTTGCCCGGCACAGCACAGAACGGCTCCTCTTATTTTCTTTTCTTTTCTTTTCTTTTCTTTTCTTTTCTTTCTTTCCTTTCTTTCTTTTCTTTCTTCGCCCAATCCACTTGCATATCGTGGTATCACATCGCAATAAACAAACAAAAACGAAAACCATTCGCAGAACAGAAACGGCAAATACCGCGCTGTTACCAACACATTCTGCGTTCTTCACTTCCTCTTCCAGTGATCGCACCCAAGCTCTCGCCTTGGGTATACAAGTATTATCGTGAGCGTCTGCTTGGTCGATTGGCCCTCTGCCGACCAATACCATAGCAGACCTATATGAGCGCTATATGCCAAAATAAATATAGCAGCTTCGTGGCTACAGGTCACATCATAAACCTCTCTTTCAGCCTCTGACTAAGGTAAGCCATGCCTCGATACCGCGTTCATTGGATAGAGTACTGTACTATTCAATAGATTATTACAGCGGGCTGAAGAACTGCACTTCCCCTTACAATCTGCTTGTAAACACACACAAAGAAGGAAAAGGGTGAATGTTGTTTCGGGGGAATTTTATACCTCGCCCGAACGAGTTGTCCCGGCATCCGAGGACAAAACCCCAACCAACCAACCGAACGAGTGACCCGAAGCCCCGTGGCGACGGAAAATGGAGTGATGTGCGGGAAATGAATACCGACAATTTGAGGGGCCGTTTGGATGCCACGATTTCGTACATTATCCTCAGCCGTATGATCCTGTTTTTCACCAAGGCGGGGGAGGTCGTTTGAAGCTGGATGGATGGATGGATGGATGGTGCTCGGGGGTCCGGAATCCGCCCTTTTGACTGCCAAAATCACATAATGGACCGCGAGTGCGGCCGATACAGTAGATGAAATTATGTCCGTCACGTGAAGCCTGACAAGAAGAATTTGGTGAACCTTCTTGGGGCAGTGTGTCCGGATAAGGCACGTGACGGATATATTTTATCGGTCTCAGTTGTAATCGTGAACATATCCTGAATAAATAAGACGATTAGGCAAATTCTTGATAGGGCTATCCAATATTTACTCCTTGTTTCTGTGATCTTTGTTGATTGGCTAAGTATTAGGTGAGAAGCATGGCTGTAGTGGTCCAAAAGTATCGTGCTTCAAAATGAGCCCAAGTTTGCCAAGTGTATAGCTTCCGGCTGATCTGGACTTGGCGGGTTTCGCCGCCAAAGACGGTTAAGGGATGAGAGGCATCAGGGGTGAACGGGTGTGTATATCATACCGTGTCATAGACTCATGGGCTCAGGAAGGAGAAGAAGGTATATTACTGTCTATCGCTACAAGTTTGTCCAGCATGAAGTACCGTACCACAACGATAGAGCCGAAGTTAGTGTGGACGCTCAGATGTCCGCGAGATGATTTGCAATATTATAGAGTACAAATAATTGATCTCTGTGCCGGGGACTTGACGCCTGATACTTGCAACTTGGGTGTGGTTTTACCAGTACGGTGCTGGGGGGAGGGGGGGGCTCCAGAGCACGTGGTTCTTGAAATAACCCCCAAGCACATCATCTCCCCCCTACAGGTAGTTAACAGATGTCTAATTCCCCACAAAGTTACGCTACGGCGGCAGACCGGATCTGTACGGGCACTTGTCCAGGGAAAACCGATCGAATTCGCTATCCAGCATAATGGCCAAGCCTCCATTGCTGGGATTTATAGGGGAAAATCAAAACCTCGAGCTATAAATCCGCTCGTGGGGTCCTGTGTTTCTACGATGAAGGGGGGGGGGACTCATACAACGAAGTTCCGAGGAAAACCACCATCGCCAAGAGTGATGCTCGCAATGTATGAGCATAATACTCTCTCCCCTGCCTTGCGATCATCCACAGAAAGGTCCACGATTGCGCATGAACGACTACGAACATGGTTGCGTCCCCCACAGCATTTATGCTGTTGCAATTTAGGATTTAGGATATAGTGGAGGAGGGGGGAGGGGAAGAGGTGAGCTTTTGGGAGGAAGAAGCAGGCAAACATTGGTTGCTTACAAGTACTCAGAGCGTTAGAATTCAATCTTCTCTATAGCTGTCCCTTAGTGATTTGCGAGCTTTGAGATCTTCTTTTATCGATATCCTCTCCTTTACTGTACTAGTATGATACTGTACTCGTACTCGTACATTCACGGGAAACCCTAACCCAACGGCCTGACCCAAGATTGTGGAGATTGTGGAGAGAATGTGGAGAAGCAGTGCGACAAGCTGCCCCACCAAAAACGTCTGAGACGGTGCGATAGCCTGCAGTGTGAAAGTTTAAAGTTATCACCGTACTGGGAACTTACAATATGTCCTTTAAAGTAGAACCGTAGCGAACTCCTCCGGCAAGGAAAAAAAATTTGCTTCCAATATCATGTACTGCCATATACCACTGCGCCCCCCAGAGTACAGTACTGTACAGCTGCACTTAACGGCAGCCAAGCTCGCTCGACTCGAGCACGCTAGTACGAGTACAAGTGACTGCAGGTCTCTCTCTCTTTTTGCGCCCACGCGTTGTATCATACTCGTACTGCCCAAGTACCAGCGCTTATCATGCACTGCGACACACAACAACGACAAGCCCCTCCTCGTCCCGAGCGGCCCCCATCCCAACCTCGGTGTGGCGCTATGGTGAGGCAGCGGTCAGCAGTACGGTACTCGTACCTACCCGCAGTTAGGAGCTCCTGCAGCGTACTCGAGTCTCGAGCCGAGTGATCAACATGATGCCATAATAGTAAACTATTTTTTTTTCTCATCTCTTTTCGCCTAGCGCGTTTATGGTTGGCTCTGCTTAGCTTGGATTACCGGGTTCCTGGTGCACCCTTGGGCGGTATGGGTCATTGAATTGACAAGACTTGACGTGCGAGGTATCATCGTCGCTGGCACCCCTACTCAGTATGAGTAGTCTAAGGGTTGAAAAAGTTTTTCTGCTGCCTTCCTTTTCGGCCTTGATGAGGGAGGGAGGAGGCGTGGGGTTGTGGTTTGGATTTTGACTCATGTTTTCCTACAAGACAGGGATACCTGCAGTTAACCGGGAGAATAAATCTGTCCTGTGCTCGGGTACGAAAATATCTCCCCGGGTACTTGAACTGGTGGATGGGAGGGGGAAGGAGGTGTCTTACTTAATTAGAGCTAGGAGTCTATGCGAACTTGTCGCAAAGTTTTTCGGGTTGAAGGACTTTTGGTGTGTAAAGTCTTTTCTGCACACATATGATACGGTGCCGTACTAGTACTGTATTGTATTGTATTGTATTGGACTCAAGTACACGTACAGTACCGTACTCGGGTATGCACCGGAATGTGAGGCAATTGTGGATCTGGGCCAACCAGATTGCTAAGATTTGTCTCCGGATGCGAAATCGCAAAGTCCCTGCGAGTATGATACAAATCTGGCAGATCCACCTAGAACTTGGCGCTCATAAAGCGCTTTTTCGACCGGGGGCTGGATGCTTCTATTTTACGAGTAGCTTTGTTTGCCGGTTCTAATAGGGCGGTTTTTTTCTCGGTGGGCTACGATAAGGTATATATACTCCTTCACACTTTCTACGAGCAATGCATGACTCGCACAGAATGATACCAGACTGCTCTTTGTTGATACTGAAATTGTGCAGGTAGGCACGGTGAGGGAGGTCAAGTCCATTTGATAACGCTTTCAAAGGAATTGCCTTCCGTCCCGTATGATCCACCAAACTGGTGCTTTGCGAGTACTGGAACCGCGATGAATAGGACTGAAAAAAAGGTCCACCCTCCTGTACATTCTATCCCCATCCATCATCCACCCACAACCCCACTTGTACTGCTAAAAAGGACCTGCCAACGCTTCCCTCTTCCTTTCTTTTCCCAATTCAAGATCTTCCCCACCCTGAACCATGCTTGGATCCTCCTGATCGGGAGTGTGACGGTAGAAACGGGAACATGCAGGCTCAACCCTTCTGGCGAGAACGGTAGTCTAACCTGCAAGACATGATAAGATTCACATACCCGTCGTAGGGGAGGCTTCCCGAGCGCAATCCTACTGAACCTCTGGTGTTGCGTTATCTTGCGTTGTTTGTAAATGTTGTGCCGGGCAGTGGCTAGAACAGCTAGCGTTGTGATATACAGCGTTCCGCCGGACATATATTTAGTGGTACATTTATGATACTCGATGGAATATTCGAGACTGAGCAGTCACTCGGGAGTGCCCCGGATTTGTAAGAATTATACCGTATCGTACGTATGAGCTACCGGCACTGCTCATTATGCCCCCTCCCCCACGGGAGTCGGGAAATAACTCGTAGGAGCTCTGCAATGTGATACCGGTACGATACTCTTAGCTCGGAGAAAGTAATAAAAAAAATATAAAAAAAGGACTACTCGAGTATCGAGTTGAATCAGAGCGGGAAGCGGTCCACACTGAACCGCCGAATGAAGCCACGGCGCATCGTTACGCGCTCTACCCTGCCCCTCGATACAAGTACTGCTCCCTCATGACTCACTTGCTGCCGGGTGCTTCTAGGTGGAGGTTTCCTCTGGAATTAGCGGGAACCTGCCAGCGCATATTATACATATTATACTTCTCCAGCATCGTCGACTGTCTTTCTGCCTCGCGGTGAATAATAATAATAATAATAATAATACCGGGAGAGCCACCGGATCCGTGCCATACATGCAAGGATGATTAGGACATTTGAGCCGGAGGTAAAATTTCGAGTGATTGGTTGTGATGTAAGTGGTTTTGGAGGGGTACTGGTACTCGAGTAATCGAGGGGATATTGAAGGGGGAGCGGTGTGAGGTGGTTCTGATGTGTATGTGATGGATATTCACTCGTATATAGCTTGTGCTCCCGCTCTCCTCTATTGCTCGCCGGAACCCCCCCCCCCCAACCGGAGACTTATTGGGAAAGAAGGGATGATGGATAGAATAAATACCCTTCTGGAATCTTACCGAAATCGGTCGATGGGAATATTTCACTTCTCTTATATGAAGAAGTGGGTAAACGGGGCTGTAATGCAGGTGGATGGGGGGAGGTGGGATTCTGTACTACCATGTGTTATTATCCCAGCCATAACGGTATGAGAATACCGTAGTTGAGTAAAATGGCGACTTTGTTTTAATACAGTTACTTGTGTGATATTTACCTCTTCATTGTTTCGTGGGGTATTAGGGTACTATAATTCACAAAATTCTTGGGCTTTGCGAGTTTCTTTGATAATAGATGGTCTCCATAGGTGGCAAAAAAGGAAAAAAAAGAGGGAAAAAAAATGATATGAGGTAAATATCTTTATAAAAGTGGGATAAAAGTGGGTAAGTTATATCTGTGAGTGTGTGTTGGCTGCTAGGGAATCTAAAGCTGCTGCGTTTGGCTGGTCCGAGTAGAATGCCTTCCCACTATGTAGTACGATTGAAGAGCCCAGCATACCACTTCTAAGCCCTTCTGTGGCAAATACTTCGACTGTGACTTATCATCCCCTCTATGCCAAATAGTTTCAAGTTTGACAACTGTTTTGTTTTTGAGAAACACGACATTTTCAGTGTCGTGTCGCATTATACTGCGAGGCGCTGGAGGGGCATTAAAAGAACCATTCTATGGCTTGCATGGAATGAATTGGGGAACAACGATCAACAAACAAGATGCCTCTTCTAAGCCACCGAGCGCAAAAATTTCCGCCTAGGATAAACCCTAAGTATCGGGTATCGGCGTGGGCCCGGTTTTTCTTTGTCCTGTGGTATGGCGGTGGATTGTCTGTCTGTCTGGACGGATTTTAAAGGTTGTTTGGCCGATTTGAAACATCGAGATCTGTGTGCGGTATCGATAGTTTGGCGCTGATCCTACATATCGTGCCCGGGAGGGCTCGGTTGGGTCTGTCTTACCAGGACGTGAGGGCGGCTCCGAGCACGCATGGGTGCCGTATGTGATGTTCTCGGGGAATTCTACGTAGATGGGTGGAAGTCGGTGTTGGGGACCGAGTGATCTCAATGCGCCCGAAGATGTAGGCAACTAAGGGGGGTTTGACTTTACAATTGAACTTGGAATACAAGTTCAAACCGGAGCGGCCGGATTGAGAAGTCTGTGAGTAGGGAATTATGTTCGCGAGATCGCCGTCGGAGACATTGTTTCTCGATCGTGCCCTCATCAGCACTTGGTTATGACCTCACAGCGGGTACGGTTACACAGGTTCTTCTTAGAAATTAACGTAGCCGCAAGCAATCGAAAGGCCGGGTAATAGCACGCGAAATCTTGGCAACGCCCAAACAGCTCGTTGCCACTTTCACGACGTGAGATTTTCCCGAACCATCAACCTTTTCCGCTAAACGCATCTCTAACCAACTGCATCTGTGAACTCTTTGTCATTCTTTCGCTCATTATTTCTATTAGCTTTTTTTCTCCGCTAAACTTCTCACGATGGCTGATGGTAAGCACACCCTCCCCTTTGCTGGCTTTTCCCTCCTTTCCCAAGGCGCAAGGCTGACCTTATCAACAGCGGAATTCGAGGAGATCAAACGCATGCAACAGGAGCGCAATGCGATGAAGTCAAAGTCGAAAGCCTTTGACCCTTCAACGCAGCGCAAGGACAACTCTACGAAGGTGGCCTTGACTGATACCTTCGACACCACATTGTACGATCGCGCGAATGGGGACAAGTTCGCTGGTTACAACACGTCGATTCCCGCTAACGATGACGACGACGATGTGGATATGGATGGGGGCGATGGAACACGGAGACTGGTGGGCCAGTATACTGCTTCCAAGGAGATTATAAGCGAGTTTGCGAATGCTGGTGATGATGATATGGATCTGATGTCTGCAAAGGCAAAAGGGGGTCAAATCGCCGATAGAGAGACGGATTACCAGAAGCGTAGGTTCCAAAGACAGTTGACGCCAACGCGGAAGGACGCGTTTGCAAGCGATGGGGTGGAGGGTGAGGGCCGGAGCTACCGGGAGGTTATGTTGGAAAAGGAACTTGAGAGGGAAGAGGAGCGTGTTAGGAGGCAGATTGAGGAAAAGCTCAAAAACGGGGATGGGAAGATGGATGGCGTTGAACATGAGGCCACTCTTAAAGACAAAGAGGCTGATGTAGAGAACAGAGATGGAGCGACCGATGGGACGAGAAAGCGGGTATGCCTTTCAAATCTTACTCTAGCCTTGTGACATAGGATGTTTGGCTAACAAGCTTACAGAGGAGGAGATGGGATGTTGGTGTCGATGATAACGCGGTACCAGTAAAAGAGGAGGACGCTTCAAAAAAGCGATCGAGCAGATGGGACGTCGCTGCTCCACCAGACGCGACACCAGTGGTAAAGCGTTCTCGATGGGATCAGGCGCCCTCACTCACTGCTGCTACACCAGTCGGGAACCAGGGACTGGTGACACCAATCCATCCTACTGTTAATGCGACACCGGTAGCTTCGCTGCCGATTACTTTTGGCCATGGCGATAGAAATGCCCCTCTATCTGACGAAGAATTGGATGAAATGCTGCCAAAGGAAGGATACAAGATTCTTGAACCCCCACCAGGATATGCACCTATCCGTACCCCTGCTAGGAAACTTGTCTCTACTCCCGCCCCCATGGCATCATCCTCCGGAATCGGTGGGTTTATGATGCAGGAACCTGAGAATGCCAGGATCCTGGGAAAACAGATGCCCACAGATATTCCCGGAGTCGGTGATCTCCAGTTCTTCAAAGCCGAGGATATGGTCTATTTTGGAAAGCTCGTAGACGGCGGAGATGAGAACTCCATGACTGTCGAGGAATTGAAGGAACGAAAAATCATGCGTTTACTCCTGAAAGTCAAGAACGGAACACCACCAATGAGAAAGACGGCTCTTCGTCAACTTACTGATAATGCTCGTCAATTTGGTGCAGGGCCGCTATTCAACCAGATTTTGCCCTTGCTCATGGAGAAGACCCTTGAGGACCAGGAGCGACACTTGTTGGTCAAGGTCATTGATCGTATTCTCTACAAGCTGGATGACCTTGTCAGGCCGTATGTGCATAAAATCTTGGTCGTCATTGAGCCACTTCTGATTGATCAGGATTACTATGCGAGAGTCGAGGGACGGGAGATCATTAGCAATCTCTCGAAAGCCGCCGGCTTGGCTCATATGATTTCGACAATGCGGCCGGATATCGATCATGTCGACGAATACGTCCGTAACACCACAGCTAGAGCGTTCGCCGTAGTAGCCTCCGCCCTTGGTATACCCGCGTTGTTACCCTTCTTGAGGGCTGTTTGTCGTAGTAAGAAGAGTTGGCAAGCAAGACACACTGGTGTCAAGATTGTTCAGCAGATTCCCATTTTGATGGGTTGTGCCATTTTACCCCATCTCAAAGGATTAGTGGATTGTATCGGGCCTAACTTGGAGGACGAACAGGCTAAGGTTAGGACAGTCACTAGTTTGGCTATTGCTGCTTTGGCCGAGGCCGCAAGCCCTTACGGTATTGAGAGTTTTGATACAATTCTCAATCCCCTATGGACCGGTGCAAAGAAGCAGCGAGGAAAGGGATTGGCTGGATTCTTGAAGGCAGTCGGTTATATTATCCCACTCATGGACGAGGAATATGCCAACTACTACACCTCAGAAGTAATGGAAATCCTGCTAAGAGAATTCCAGAGTCCGGATGAGGAAATGAAAAAAGTCGTCCTGAAGGTTATCAGCCAATGTGCAGGGACAGAGGGTGTAACCGCGGCATACTTGAAGGAAAATGTGCTACCCGAGTTCTTCAAAGCTTTCTGGGTTAGGCGCATGGCTTTGGACAAACGAAACTATCGACAAGTGGTTGAAACCACGGTTGACCTTGGCCAAAAGGTTGGATGTGGAGAGATCATTGAGAGGATAGTTGATCATCTTAAGGATGAGAGTGAGCCATACCGTAAGATGACTCTGGAGAGTGTCGAGAAGGTTATTGCTTCTCTCGGCGCTGCTGACATTGGTGAACGTTTGGAGGAGCGACTCGTGGATGGTGTCCTATTCGCTTTCCAGGAGCAAACTATGGAGGATGTGGTTATGTTGAACGGGTTTGGTACTGTGGTTAATGCGTTGGGCACCAGGTGTAAACCGTACTTGCCACAAATCGTGAGTACCATTCTCTGGAGATTGAATAATAAGAGCTCTGCCGTCCGCCAGCAAAGTGCGGACTTGATCTCACGGATTGCGGTTGTCATGGTATGTTTATTCCTTGTATTAAATTTGTATTGCGAACATAGCTGACCGGCGAGCAAAAAAGAAACAATGCGGCGAGGATGCTTTGATGGGAAAGTTAGGTGTTGTTTTATATGAGTACCTAGGAGAAGAGTATCCCGAAGTCCTGGGTTCGATTCTTGGAGCTCTGAGGTCTATTGTCACAGTTGTAGGCATCAACAGCATGCAGCCTCCAATCAAGGACCTGCTTCCTCGCCTGACTCCAATTTTGCGAAATCGGCACGAAAAGGTGCAAGAGAACACCATTGATTTGGTAGGCAGAATCGCGGATCGAGGTGCCGAGTTTGTGAGTGCGAGGGAATGGATGCGAATCTGTTTTGAGTTGCTAGATATGTTAAAAGCACACAAAAAGGGTATTCGGAGAGCAGCAAACAACACTTTCGGTAAGCAATCTATCTCATTCATACTCGTGCGGTTGCTAATCCTGGATTTAGGTTTTATTGCCAAAGCCATCGGTCCCCAGGATGTTCTTGCAACATTGCTCAACAACCTCCGTGTTCAGGAACGCCAGTCCCGTGTTTGTACTGCCGTTGCCATCGGTATTGTCGCTGAGACCTGCGCTCCCTTTACCGTCCTTCCAGCCTTGATGAACGAGTACAGAGTGCCAGAGCTTAATGTCCAGAACGGTGTCCTCAAATCCCTCTCCTTCTTATTTGAGTACATTGGCGAGATGGCAAAGGATTACGTTTATGCTGTCACTCCCCTTCTCGAGGATGCACTAATCGACCGTGACCAAGTGCATCGTCAGACTGCGGCCTCTGTTGTGAAGCATGTTGCACTAGGAGTGGTTGGACTGGGCTGTGAGGATGCTATGATGCATCTATTGAACCTACTATACCCGAATATGTTTGAGACATCCCCGCACGTCATTGACCGGATCATTGAAGCAATTGATGCTATCCGGATGGCTATCGGCCCCGGTCTAGTCATGAACTATGTATGGGCAGGCCTTTTCCACCCCGCAAGGAAGGTCCGGACACCGTACTGGAGACTGTACAATAATGCATATGTGCAGAGCGCGGATTGTCTTGTGCCTTTTTACCCTAATCTTGATGAGGAGAAATTGCAGCGGAATGATCTGATGATCGTACTTTAAGAGATGGAACATGGAATTTGCAGATTTAAAAAACTTTTATTGTAGGATACTGATACTGCCGGTTGTAGTGCCAAAGGCGGGGGTGGATCGGAAGGTGGAAGAGATTCTTTAGTATATAACATTGCCTTTTTTTATTTTTTTATTTTCCTTTTTTCCGTCAGTTCAGTTTCATTGGTACTAGGTATGCTTATTATTGTTGGGGCTGTTTGTGTTGGTAGAAGTAATTTGAGTTAGCGATCTTTAGTGATAAAGGGGTGTATGGATGAATGTGATACCTTGGCGAAGCACAGTGTACCGATACTCTATTAGTATACCTGTGACTTAGGGGAGCGTTTTGTGTTGTGTTAGGTATTGGCTAAATTAAAGGAGTGACCACAGCTGGGATATCAGCGATGGAAAAAAAAAAATAGGCTTTGCTATGAGAGGGTCAGGATTTGGAGGACTATGTTACAGTTGTAGAGTACATGCCCGCCCACACTCACACAAACGCGTAGCACAAGAGCACTATGATATATAATAGTATTTCCTATATCACAACGCGACAGGAAATCGCATCCAACCCCTCGTGTGTGTGTGGGGGGTGAGGGGGCGTCATGAGTCCTTTACCAGGACGATACTCACGCCAGCCCCCCACCCAGCGAGTGATGACTTGTGTCCCAGCATGCAATGGCACTTATCACACACAGAATCTGATGTATGTATATATTATATACTCCGCATATCGCCCTTGATCGCCCGCACCCCCGCTCGCGGTGATGTTCGTACCATGGCAGGAATGACTACTTCACCGAGTCCGAGGTTACCAGCTCGGAATTGTTCCTTCCTTTGAGCGCCGTTTTATCGCAATAGCCAAGACCAATAACATGGTATCATAGCATACACGCACAAAAGTGAATTTATGGAAATGTAATAGTCTATGATACTCATTTCGGCAACTTTTGAATTATGGTACGTAGGGACTGATGTTGTACCTACTTATAGCGAACCTAGATTGGACAGCGGGGATGGGAGGGAGCCCGGGATGGGTTCGATAAGAGTGTTGTATTGTACTAACTAGTTAGAATGGGAAATTGTCGATTTCTTGGGGGTTTGAATGTTGTGTGGCTGTTGTTTCTAAGGTCCGTAGACTAACTTATCATATGGGAGAGTATTATATAGACACAACTGTTCAGGTGCCGGATGGTTGGTTTTGGATTTTGGAGTTTTTTTCACAACGCGTCGCGCGATGATTGCGATATATGGTCTCTCGTGATGAGGAGGTTCGGTTGTAGGTGTGGGATCTGTTGTTGATGTGCTTTTGAGGTGGTGAGGGGTGGTGATACTTTATTGGTATTGTGGTGGACGTTTGAAGCACTGTGTGCTCTACCTTCTAATGAAAGTAACTCAGGTGCAAGAATCCTTACTTGGAATAGATAAAAATTGAGCATAGTATAATAAACCCAGACGATATTTCGCTCCGTCCCAATGTAAGTTACAGTCTATGAATGAGATCCTCCGGTACAAGAGACTATTATATAACCCTGCTGAAAACAAAGAGTACAGCAAAGAATAGATGGGGGGGAGCTGACAGAAAAGGGAAAAAAATGTGAGATCTAGATCTTAGCGCTAGCCGGTTTATGGGTATTCTCTTGCTCATATGTAGTATAATCAGTGTATCCAGCAGTTCCAGGAACGTAGAAGGTATTGCGGTCGTAGTGGGACAAAGGCCATCCATTCCTCAATCTCTCGACGATATCCGGATTACTAATGAAGTAGCGACCGAAGACGATTCCCTCGGCCCCACCACTCTCAACTGTGCTCCCAGAATTGGTAGCGTCGAAACCTCCAGCAGCGAGCATAGGGGTTCCGTGCAAAAGCCTCTTGAAGGGCATGAGGGTGAGGTAGTCAGCGACATCCTCGTCCGGAATACCTTTCGCTTTGGCAATAGCGAAGAGTTTCTCCATCTTGCTTTCATTGTCCATAGTCAGCTCCCAGCGCTGCTCGATGAGGTGGACGTATGCGAGCCCCTTTTGGCCGACCTTCTCGATGACGTAGCCATAGTGCTCGTGGATGTCGGAGGTGTTGGTTCCTTGGAAGAAGCCGAAGGGGGAGAAACGGATTCCGACACGGTTGGCCCCAATGGCCGCAGTGACCTCGTCGACTACCTCGAGGACGATACGGCCACGGTTCTCAGTGCTGCCGCCATAGGTGTCGGTGCGGAGGTTGATGTTGTCACAGATGAACTGGTTGAGGAGGTAACCGTTTGCGGCGTGCTATGTTCCGGTAGTATTAGGGCGTGTGTACTTTAGCGGTATGTGGGAAAAATGCTCACGATTTCAACACCGTCGAAGCCAGCAGCAATTGCACACTTGGAGGCATGAACATAATCGGAAATTGTGTCTTGAATCTCCTCAATGGTCATTTCCTTGGGGGTGACGGTATCCTTCGGCCCCTCCCGGGTGAAGAAGACCTGGGAGTCCTCTAACCTGACGGGAGAGGGCCCAAGCGGGGTTCTTCCACCCAAGTTGATGGGATGGGTTGTTCTTCCAACGTGCCACAATTGGCAGTAGATGAACCCACCCTTTGAGTGAACAGCGTCGGTTACTTTCTTCCAAGCACGGATTTGTTCGGGAGTAAAGATTCCCGGTACATCGTGGTAGTTTCCAGCCTATGGAACCTGTTAGAATGGATAAGCTCCAAAAGCAGCACCATTACGAAAATTTACCATGACGGAGATGTTTGTAGCCTCTGTAATGATGAGACCACCGTCGCTGGCGCGCTGCCTGTAGTACTCGACGACATTTTCGTCGGGTATATGCTCAGGTGAGCGGCATCTTGTCAATGGGGCCATAATGATGCGGTGCTTCAAATCCATCTTCCCCAGCTTGAGAGGAGTAAAGAGCTCGGAGTTGGCCTTGTAGCCATTAGCAACTGGCGGTTGTGGGGCGGCCATTGGGGTCGTATAGGGTTCAAAGGGCTGTGTGAGAGGTATAAAGGAGGTAGTGTCTGCGCAGTAAGCTGTAAATAATTGTGCAATTGAGAAGATAGAACGGGGGGAGACTCGGTGCCTCTTAAGAGGGAACAGTTGGTGGAGGAAAGAACGATACTACAAATATCTAACAGAAGATTCCAGTCAGGCCCTGAGCTGTTTGGGCATCCTACTGACACAAGATCTACCGCGAAAGGCCAGAGGAGTTAGGATCGGATAAAAGCAGATTGGAAATCAAAATTGTCTGCCGGCGTCAACTTAACATCCGATCTTGGCCGCGACACGTGACTGCACCGGATTATTCAGTTGTCCGTTGGGCGGTGAAACAGTAAAATTCGCGATTTGTTATCAAAAAATTTACACTAGCTGTGATATCTATCCGGAGCCCACTCGCAAAACGCTGCCACAGTTAAGAATTCAACAGCTCTCCGTGTATGATACTGAGTCAGTTATGGTATGAGAAGTCCAATTTCACTACTAACAACTATTAAATTTGATAGTTACTTTTGGTTTGGCGTGCTTGGAAACGAATTCTACTATTCCACGCCGCCCAAGGGATGCTGTAAGTCAACTAATGTGCCAAAAATGACCTTGACATCATTCTAGAATTCCAATGGACTGAGAAACCAGATTGTTTGATCGGCTCCTAGGGCAGGCTAGGAAATTGAGAACCCATAATATATTTGTAAAAATGTAAAAATTTAATAGAATTTTCCCAGACAATAAGTGGGGTTATAAAATGTCAGAACTCAATTACAAAATGGAGAAACAATACTAAGGACCAGCTATCTTGCAACCAGCTGATGATACTATGCAACTGGAAATCAGATTATTTGTTTATGATGTATTTTCTCATAATGTACGTTCATCGATAACTAACTTGGCTTTCTCGTCCATCAAGTTATCATTATAATAACATATATCATACATCAAGAGAGGGCGAACTCTCTTGGTAAAATAAAAGATATTGTCTTACACTAGCCCCCATCACAATGGGTTAGCATCACAACAGATTCTTTATGAATCTATGAAACACCGATAAATTTAGTTCAGGTTTGCTTGTAAGAGATGTTGGTGATGAGATCAAGCTAGCCGGCCAACATAACCTGAGTGGTAGGATATCATATTTGTGGTAGGCGGTGAGGTGAGGTGGGATCTATGGTAGAGCCTTCTAGCGCTTACCACCACAAGCCAGCTCGAGTCAAGCCTGCCATTGTATGCACGACAAGCAAAAAAAAGAGAAAAGCCATAGCTGGATTTGTAATAAACATAGAATATCACTTGCTTAGCAAGGTTGAAAGTGGCGCTAACTTATATGGTAACTAGACCCGTGAGGAGAAAACGGCACTCAAAGTGGACAATACAAAGAAAAAAGCAAAAAGTAAAAAAAAAAAGAAAATCAATTGTTAGTTGTATGATACTAGTATTGTCGTAGGAAGATTTGTTCGACCTCCTCTACATCAAACTTAATTTCCCAAATCCTGGACTTCTTGCGATCCCAACCAACTTTTCAGTACTAAGGTTGGGCTCGCTGCAGGCCCTGCCCCCCCCCCCACTCCACAACCTTTTGTGAGGTTTGAAAAGAGACATGGAGAGGAAAGAAAAAGACATCACAAATGTCCAAGCTTGGCTCGAGTCTAGCTCAGCTGGGGGAATAGGTCGGCTCGATGGACTCGAGTCCAAAGCTCGAACCGACCCTCAAAGCTTCTCAGTTTGTGGCAAACACTAGGGCCTTGAGGGTGTCAATGATTGTTCAGATGCTGTACTCCTGAATCCGCATAGTCCCCTCCTATACTTGGGTTGGGACAGAATGACAACCAAAAGCTGTGGTTGCAATATAGATATCGATGTCACTCCGTCCGAGTCTTTAATTTGCGCCCGAGTACGCCTCCTCAACAATGTTGGAAACAGAGAAGAGATATCGACGAGTAAGAGAGGAATTGGGATAGAGTTCGCTATTTGACTATAGCACTCAGAGCGTGTTGCTATACACCCAAGTAGCCCCCATAATGTGTTTTCTGTATTGGGACCCACACGGACCTCTCTCTACTAGTCCACTAGCTCATCAGCCACATATTCCAAACACTCTGATACTAGCCCGATTATAGTACCATATCCCCATATTCCAACAAATGAGTACAGAATTCGCGCGAGTGACCCCTTGTGAGTACGTCATTAATCAAGCAGTCACCCACAAACATTGTCGGCAGTATCTCAAGATGTACACCTATCACGGGGTATGCGTTAAAACAGCCCGCAATAGCATTCCCGTTTCAATTTCGCCACAATTGGTCAACAACCCGCCAGCCAACAAATCAACTTTAGAAAAGGGCAGAACCCGCGAGCTGGCTCACGATACGGGTGAAGGACCTGTACCTTCACCCGCACCCCTCTATCAAGACTCAATAGTTAGGCCATATTATGTAAAGGTTTTGCTCATGCCAATAGAAAGAACTTCACCTCACAGCTTTCCTTACCCATCCATACTCTACACACGTCCCGATAAACAACTCCCTAACAGCGCGGGGATACAACCTACCATGCCAAAATGGTTCCCTAGAGTAACTTCCTTCCTCACCCCGTCCGCTTTTTGATTACCCAACTAACCAGCATCGTGCAGACCGTCATGCCGCGCGGCGGTACCCCACCGCCCCCCACGGCCGCCACGACCCTCTCTGATGGTCCCGTCGAACTACCCGTCTCGCCACCCTCCCCTGTCCAGCTTGCGATTCAAAACGGCTTCGAGGACAACCCTCTCCCACCCCTCAACTTATACTCCTACATCGACCACAATGGTGGTGGAAATGCGGACCCGGAACCCGGCAGCATAGGATCCACCAATTATACCCCCAGAGGGCCGGGCGGTTTATTGGAGAGACTGAGGAGACTTCGCAGGAAGAGGAGCTTTTGGGCGCTTGTCGCAATTCTGTTCACCATGATGACCTGCATGATTGTTGGGTTGACTGTTTTGTGGCAAAAGGGGGATAAAGGCAAGATTAGTAATAGTAGTTCCACGTATGTTCAGAGAGTGAATGAAATATGGGGAGATGAGCGAGTGAGCGAGTGAGTGAGTGCTGATAGTGCGTGTGCGGTGGCAGCAGTACAATTCAACCTCCAGCGTCGTCGGCATCGGGTATTACACCCAATTCGGTCACTAGCGATCCCACAGGTACTACTACTGGTACTACTGGTACTACTACAGCTACTACTACTACTCCCACCAAGAGGATAACCACTGTCACTTCCACCATCAGAGCCACCCAGACCTCTTCTGCATACACCACTTTCCCACTCTGGATCGGAACCTTCGACACCATTTCCCCACTCGCCTCGTCTTCCGGCATCTGTAAGACCAACACTGGCACGAGCACTACCCTTCTCCAGGACTGCGCGGAAAATGTCCGCTTCACAATAACCATTGGGGAGCTTAAGCCATATGGCTATGCTATCAGCACCACACCCTGGACCTTCAGTAATTATCTCGCGCCGGTCTTCCGCTCCGGGAAGCAGTGGTACTATTCCAGGAACAGCACTGAGAAAAAATACTCGCACGCCAGCAGCCCAGATTGTGGGGTTGTTGAAAAAGGTGCGCTTTGGCTAGGGGTGGAAGGATCGTATGTGCTTGAGGTGTAGGTTTGCGCATTTTTTTCACTCTTTTCTTATTTTTCCCTTCACCTTTTTGCTGTTCTTCGGCTGATGACGCGCGCACTCAGGAACTATGAGTGGACGAATATGTGCACCTTGTATAGCGGCAGGGCAAAGAATCCTACGGCCCAGGTCTGTGAATGCATATATGAGGGATTGTTTACCAAAATCTCGTAGTCAGATTCATACGTACGTTAAAATAAATCTAGAGGGGATTAAGGAGAATTGGGGATTCGAAAAACCAACTGCCTATAATTCCTTGCAATCCTTGTTAGGAATCTGTGGGTGGACTTCTTTAACTCCAACAATTTAGTTTCCGGGGGAGGAGCAGGCCCAGGTCACCCTTTCCAGATCGTAGACAACTTCATATACCAGATACCGGGATGTAAAATTCAGTAGCTTCAACCAATAAAAATTTAAAATTGACTAGTTCTAATTGGTATCTCGTCTATTTCAAAGTGCATGGAAGAACATGGGAAAGTTGAGATGTATATTTAACCAAGTAAAAGTGAGAACTCAACGCTTCCGAAAAAGACAAAAAAGACCTCCCTTAACGGTACTAGGCCTCCAACAGCTTTGCCACCTCCTGGCAAAGCGCCTTCTCCCCCATGCCCGCCTTCGCCTTCTCACTGAGAACCCCTCCGGCCTCCAGAACCTTCAACAGCTCCAGTATCTCACCCCCCAAAGGCGCGCAATATGACACTAGGGAAACAGCTAACGCAAGTCCCTTCACAACCTCCTTGCTATCCCTCTCCTCCTTCAATGCTTCCACAATTGCCGCTATGAACTCCACATCCTGGAGTACCTCCTCGTTATACACAGCTCTCTGCTTCTGGACATGTGTCGCTAGATTAAACGCTAGTGATGCAGCCGCCACTCGTGCGTTAATATGAGATTTATCCAATAGTGATGTAGTTATTAATGATGTTACCAGATGAGAGAGAGATGGAGAGGTCAAGTGGGCAGGAAAGAGGGGTGAAGTAAAGAGGTTACACGTAGCCTGTAACGTGACAAGACGGAGGGGGTAGGGGACTGATGTGTGGTTTGTAACATAGGATAGCATGGCTTTGATTGTAGTGTTGCCTTTCAGGTGTCAGCCGAAGAGAAAATAAAACGAGCCGAGTGATAATTTGTGATTAGTACCTTTTTCTTCAGCGAACCAGCCTGAGACTCTGTGATCCGAAAGGACAACTCGGAACAGATCTGCTAGCGGGAACAGAGTCGCTGTGGGAAGCCCCGTGAAGGATTCTCGCAAGAAGGTCGCCCAGTCCGAGAGTTGTTGGAGAGGGGCCTCAATTGCGCCTTGTGAATCTCGAAGTGTTATGAAGTCCCTTATTGATACCACGACAGGGTTTTTCCCAGTTGGCCCGAGCTTCTCGATAACCTTGTCCAGAGGTGGTACTTTTGTGAATATCACTGGGTTCATCGATGTACCAAGCGTTACACGAAGATTGACGTTTGTGTGGGGGTGGGCTAGGTAGATATCAGCATATAACACATGATGGTAAGGTTAAAGGTGAACAATTACGAGGGTAGGCCATTCTAAGCAGTGTTTCAACACGGCTTCTCAAATCACCATAATGTGCCCCCGACCATTGGTCGATCTTTTCTCCTTTGAGAAAAGTCATGAAAGTTGGAGTCGCAGAAACCTGAAACTTCTGACCAACACTGTAGGATGTGCCAATATCGACCTTGATGAATTTGGCTTTGCCTCCAGCTTCCGAGCCAATTTGTTCGAAACGAGGATATATGGTTCTACATGGTGGACATGTAGCAGAAGTAAAAAATATAACAGCGCAAGATGATTCAGCACTCTTCAAGGCTGCTTCTAGGTCATGAAGTGATTTTGCCACTATGACATTAGAAGGACCTTGTAGTGCGGCGCCAGGAACTCCATCCGTTGGCATATTTGGCGCAGTGGTAAGAGGCCTTATCGCTCTATCCAACATAGGTCTGAGCATCTGACCAAAAGGCGTATTCAAAACAGTCTGCGGGAGAGCGGTAATGTGAGTTGGTATCCCACGACCGCATAGGAATTGGGCCACATCATTGGTGAAATTATTGCAATTGTGCACAAACAGATCGTAGGCTTCAGAAGAGTATATAGACTTGAGAGAGTCAAGGTAACCTAATATTACGTCATCTGGCAGCGCGGTTACCCCCAAAGGCACAATTTCCATTGGGTTGCCATGACGGGTCTTGCCGGGCTGGGAACAATGAATTCCATGCCCTAAGGAAAGTTAATATCTCTGATCAGCAAGCATGAAAAGCAGGAAGAGATTACCATAATGATACTCCTTTCCCCCAACTACAATACTAGTGTGGTAAACCGCATCTAGGGTTTAATTAATATTATAATGCACGAATATCTCATAAGCATTCAGATAAATGTGGGCACTTACCAATTTGAACACCCAAGAGACCAAGAGACATCTAGAAGCAGAGTGATATTGTTAGCATTACTAACACAAGCAGTACATTAATGATCATATAACCGCACCTCTCTTGCCATGCCTACAGGTATTAAAGTGATTAGCAGAGAAAATCCCGACCACCCAACTGCCAGTGATAATGTCTTTACCCTGAGATAAGTCATAGACGTAAAGTTGCACCAGGCGTTCCCCAGAATCGGTAGACATTTCAAGATCCGTATTAGTGTTTCAAGGACAAGCAGTAGCTGGTACAGTATTTAATATCGTCAAGACACTGAAGGGTTGGGAACTATTGATGCGCTTTTCTCTGCCGGTTTAAGTGAGAGGAAGGGAGGGAGGAGGTTGATCACTGGAGAATGCCAAAGAAAAGAATTGGGGTTCCAGTTTTCTCGAATTAATAGGAACTGTGGGGGGCGGAGGTTTACTCGAGTATTGCTTTTCGGAGCAAAGAGAGGTTGCAGCGTCATTTTACAGAAGCTTCCAGAGCATAGCTCAAGCCCGCAATGTCACACAAGAGCCGCCTCAGCCTCATCAAGAGCCGCACACAATTAAGGCACACTACTCGTACTGTACGGTACCATAGAAAATGATGCCTGTATTCCCAGGAGTCAGGTGCGCGTATACAGGTATTGTAGCGATACAAGCACCTTACTCGAGTACTCGAGCAGACTGCTGTGCCACTGCGCCGGCACTTGTATTGTGCTGCCGCGAAGCGGTTGCACTCAGGATTCCTAAAGGACAAGCAAAAGATGGAGGGGTGAATGTGCAATCACAACAGGCCCTAGTCTAAGGGGAGCTGAACGAGCAAGATGGGACTAGGCTACCGATGGGCCTGCCAGCTGAGGACAGGCCAGGAGATACATATCTCCGCATAGACTAACGAGCAACTCCCGAAAACTCAACAATCACTCTAAAGAAACACCAAACTGATGAGTCAAGATCCCCTGTGATCTCAAGAAAACTGCGCCCTATGCACTACCCCATGCCCAAATGACATGGGGTATGAAGGGAACAGCCCTGAACCAAATACCCGATGCCTATGGTATCCTACGGTATGCCTACCCTACGATACTCGCATGGGTTGTGAAAGCAATAATACACCGCCGCATGCCTATGATACTCACCACACACCTCAAAGCTACACAGCTTGTAACGACCGGTATACCGGTACAATATCTCCTATGTTGCAGAAAAAGCCGGGTAACTTATCATCCGTTTTCGGACGCTTCCCCTTTTTGTCCCCTGTTAACCTACCGACTATCTCCGATCGGTATCGTTATCTCTACTGCCACCTTTTCTTCCCTTCATTTCCTCCTCCCTATTCTTCTCCTTATTCCTAATGATTCTGAACCCCACTGCATCCTCACATTCTTTCTGAAATCTAGTCTTTGGGACTTGATACACCGTTTTCGGTTCACACGCTGCACCTTGCCTTTCTCGCTCTTTTCCATGTCTAGCGCGAGAAGGCGGCCTTCCCTCTGGTCACACTTCTCGTTCCAGCGTAAACCCGCACGATCATCGAGTATATCCTCACAGTTACGACCTTCTGACGACCGGTACGAGAAATCCGGACGTCACGCAGAGTTAAACCCAGCGTTTCCGAGCATGTCGAATCGATGGTTAAAAACCTTGTCAGTGGCTGTTATTTTTGCCCTCGCTTTATTCATCCTTGCCCCTAAGGACAAGTCCAGTGCAACCTCTGAATATGTAGGAGGTAAGTTGCGCGATCTCCCATCTAAGAGGGGATCTGTTTCGAACTGAATTAGATGAATTGGGCTTTTTAGCAGACAAAACTCAAAATATATCGAACAGCAGAGTTATACCCAATACCAACCCTACCACGCCGGCCTCTAGCGGCCAAGGCCAAGTCGCCCTTGATGACGAGTCGGGAACTAAGAGCTGCACAAGGTCAAGCTCCGCGAAGAAGCCTATCGTGCAATATGCTATCATGGTCGATGCAGGATCTACTGGATCGCGAATTCACGTCTACCGCTTCAATAATTGTGGTGCCACCCCTGAGTTGGAGAGTGAAGAATTCAAGATGATCACTCCTGGACTTTCTTCTTACAAAGCGGATTCTGAGGCTGCTGCCAAGAGCTTGGATACTTTGCTTGAGGTAGCTGTCGAGAAGGTCCCGGATAAGCTGAAGGGATGTACACCGATTGCAGTGAAGGCTACTGCTGGATTGCGGCTCTTGGGTGACGAGATGAGCCGAAAGACCTTGGATGCTGTTAGACAGAGACTTGAGACTCGTTATCTGTTCCCGGTCGTTGCTGGTGATGGTGTATCCATCATGGAAGGAAAGGATGAAGGTGTGTTATCATGCCCTACGCGTTTTCATTGTCACTAACACCCATCAGGTGTCTATGCCTGGATCACCACCAACTATCTGCTTGGCAAGATTGGTGGTCCCGAGGATACTCCCACCGCCGCAATCTTTGACCTCGGAGGTGGATCAACACAAATTGTCTTCCAACCCACTTTTCCCTCGAGTGGTGGTGGGATGCCCGAGCACCTTGCACCTGGAGACCATAAGTACGCCCTGAACTTTGGTGGGCGCAACTTCGATCTCTATCAACATTCTCATCTCGGATATGGTCTCATGGAGGCTCGTCGCTCCATCCACAAATTGCTCGCTGAGACACAAAAGAAGGAAGGTGATGAGGATTGGGCCAACAAGCCAATTGTTAATCCTTGCATTATTCCCGGCATGTCCCGTGAGGTCACTGTCAAGATGGGTGACGATGAAGAAGTTAAGCTTAACATGACTGGCCCTAGCGAGCCTTCCATGCCTCAATGTCGATACCTTGCCGAGACTACTCTTAAGAAGGGCAAAGAATGCAAGCTTACCCCTTGCTCATTCAACGGAGTTCATCAGCCTTCTTTGGCAAGGACTTTTGCAAAGGAGGATGTCTATATTTTCTCGTACTTCTTCGACCGTACTCGCCCTCTTGGTATGCCAGACAGCTTTACGTTGAAGGAAATGACTGAGACCACAACCAGGGTCTGCGGCGGTAAGGACTCATGGGATGTTTTCCAATCCATTGATGGTGCCATGGCCGAGTTGTTGGACCGACCAGAGTACTGCTTAGATCTAAACTTTATGCTTGCATTGCTTCACACTGGTTATGAGATGCCTCTTGATAGAGAAGTTAAGATTGCAAAGAAGATTAAGGGCAATGAACTTGGTTGGTGCTTAGGTGCTAGTCTTCCACTTCTTGACCAAGGAAACGGGGGCTGGCAATGCAGAATCAGAGAATCGTCATAACAAAAGAAAAACGAGTTTTAGAGTTTTATTTCTACTTTGTAATCTGCACGAATGTCTTTTTCCCCATTATTCTTTTTCTTCCATCATACTTCATATTCCCCCCTCCCCCCTCCCTCCCCTTTTTTTTTTGGTTCAATATGTTAGCGATAAATTGTCTGTTAATTTTTTCTAGCTTGATACGGAAGCACATGGTCTGAGGGGTTGCTAGGCATAGATGTGATAGCACATCAAAAAAGAGATGTCTAATTATCAAATTACCATGACCGTATCCTCGCGATAAATTTAATTTGAGTGTTTGTTCAGTAAATATCGATATAGTCGAAATTTATGGCTAAAAAAAAAAAAACAATGAAGCCCGGTTTACGGTAAAAACCCTTGTCAAGTTAGATTTCTCACAACGCATGCTAGCAGCCAATCCTCCAGCCACTCATACTGACTACTCGTACCGTACAGTGAGCGGCAGAAAACCCAGACCAATAAACGACTTTTAGTGCCTGAGAAGAATCAATCTAACTCCCTGCACCTTGTGCGGCTTCCTTATCCAAACAACAGGTACAACCACATACTGGCATCTAAACCAGGGGTATTTTCACTCACCCAATCACTCGCAGAGTCATAGCTTACCAACCAGCTTCCAGATATCCTTTCTTCAAATAAAATGCGGTCTCCTAGCTTGATAGCATATCTTCTTCGAAACACCAAACTTTCATCCGTACCTTTCAAGTGCCAAACTCAAAAACGAAACATGTCTGCACCCAGGCATCAGGACATACAACCGCAATCATCGAGAAAGAAAAAGAAGACGAAAGCTTTATCGAGGGAGGGGCATGTGATTCCTTGGGATTCCCTGAAGAGCAATTATGTCGACACCCACTGTCACTTATTTACAACATTGGCGACTCTTAGGGTGTGCGCTTTCTTTCAGGGCGGTATGCTCTTGCGATGGTGATACATGTTGACTTGTGTGCAGGAAGATGGGGATCAGAGCATCCCCCATAACAGAATAGATTTATTTGTCAAGAAATTCTTCCCCAAGAATTGCACTTCTGTTGTGGACATACACTGTGACCTGCCACTGGGAGATCTTCACGAGCAGGCGTCGAGTTTGACTGAGTGGCCTGAGGGGTTCAAGTACCAGTTCGTCTCCCCTCCCCCATCTCCCCCATCCTCTCCACTACCTGCTCAGACGCCTGGTATGACATAGTTTCGCTATGGGGGTCCATCCCCACGTAGCACGCTACTACACCGACAATATCCACAAAACGCTCGTCAAAACCATATCGAACCCGAATTGCGTGGCCTGGGGCGAGTGTGGACTAGACTACTTCAAAAACCCCCCAGAAACGCACCCAATCCAACGCGAAGTATTTGCCCGCCAACTCGCCGCCGCTGTCTCCCTGGACAAGCCCGTTGTCATTCACACCCGAGACGCCCCGGACGATACACTATCACTCATTCGCGAGCACGTTCCTAAATCCCATAATCTGCACATCCATTGCTTCACCTCCACAGCCGGACTCGCGCGTGCGATTTTGACAGAGTACCCGAACTCGTTTATCGGGATTACTGGCGTCGTGACATATAATGGGATGGAACGCGTTCACGAAGTTCGCGAGATGATTACTTCCGGGGAGTTACCGTTGGAGAGGATACTGCTTGAGACTGATAGCCCGTACATGGTACCTAGGAATGCATATGGTTGGTTGGCGAAGAGTAGGCCTGAAGACAAGAAGAAGAGGTTTACAATTAGCCATGCTGGGATGATTCCATTTGTCGCGGAGGAGATTGCCGAGTGGGTGAATGAAGGGCGGTTATCGAGAGGAGAGGAAAAAACTGAGATTGAGGAAGTGCTGGATGTTACGAGGAGGAATGCTGGGAGAATGTATCGGATAGAAGTTTAATATTGTAAGTGTTGTGTAGGTAGAATTGTATTGTTGCTATAACGACAAAATGTCAATTCTATGAATTAACTTATGGTCACAGGCAGTACAGTATGTTTGACGCTTTTCGGCTCGAGTAGACTAAATTACCGGTGTCGTACTCCAGTTCTCCTGAACCCCGCCGTGGGGGTGACACGCGCCAAGTGAACGCGTTAAGTTGAATCTCTTCCGGAATAATTTAACTTATCTCCCAATGTGACGCGCTCTGGCTGCCGTAGCAACCTCCGGCTACCGTGAAATTTCCTGCATCCCTCCTATATTTCTTCATTTCCAACAACAATACACCCCACTACTATTAACCACGAAGCATTGTAGCAGTCGAAGGCGAGGAAAAAATTCACGAATTATGGATTTCGAATGTATTAACCCGGTTGATTCCCCTTCTGATCTTAAGGCCACCTCTGCGAATTCGATTCATAGTTTTTTTACGCCGAGGCGTCGACCTTTCTCCGCAGTCACTGCGAATGACAGCCCGCTTACCAAAAGCCAAATAGCAACAGATGATACGCCTAGTCAAAATAAACGGCAACGAGTTATAGGCCACCTTGGTAATGTTAGGACTCCAACAAATCCGCCTCAAGAAGTTGGTCAACGGCCAGCTGGAAATGCGCGCCCCAACCTGTCGACGAGACTTTTGGCGAGGGAGTTAGGAACCCTGAATGGCCGCAGTCAACTTCACAAGAGGGTCTTTCACTGTCAGCGTGCGTTGTTGATATTATATCTACCCTTGTGAGCTCTTTTTACTGACATGGGCGACGGGAGCAGATTGGTCGGTCGAGCTTCTTAAATTTTATTCCAGGCCGAAAGACAGCTACTATCTTGTGTCGCCGGAGAGCGAACTCTCGCTGCCGTTTTCCGCCCAAGCACTTAATAGTAAGCTTACACCGGCGGGCAGATGTGACTTAAAATATGCTGATAAGTGCTTTAGGGAATCCTTTAGTTGCCATCGGGGACGAGACTGGTATCATAAGACTCTTAGAATCGGATAAGGACAAAGCGCCAGGTTTTGGTGGGTTCTCTCTGTAGTTCACAATTCGAACTTTTGTTGACATACAAAGTAGAGACGGACTTTGTGAAACTGCCTTCGCATGATAATGCCATCTTTGATATTTCAATTTCCAAGGACGATGCTTTGATGGTCAGTCCTGCGCACAATATACCCATATTTTTCAATCGACAGACTAACGAGCGATACGCTCAGGCCACTGCATGTGGCGACCAGAAAATACGTGTAATGGACATCACAAAGCAGACAATTCTGCATGTTCTGGATGGTCATGTTAGCAGTGTGAAGCAAGTGGCATTTGAACCAACGTGTCCCTCAATTACTGCCAGTTGTTCTCGTGATGGAACCGCCATGATTTGGGATCTTCGTGCCAACATTCAGAGTCGCTCTGATAATAACGAATTTGTCACTCACAGACCTGTCGAGGTAATTCGCGGCGCTCATGCCCCACTAACGGCCCCGAAAGGCCGAGCCCCCAGATCAATCGTCTCGGTAACAGCATTGACCTGGGGTATTCCAAACACTTTTCTTACGGCTTGCGAGTCTAGAGCGGAGCTCAGGTGCTGGGATCGTCGCTCTATCAAAAAAGATAGAAGAGGAAATTCTCAACCTTGTGATGTGTCGGCTGAGCCAGAGCATCACCAAGTCCGCCCCTTCGGCATAAACTCAATATCAATTTCCCCGGACAGGTCCATGGCCTATACCTTGTGTAAGGACTCGATAGTCTACGCTTGGGGAACCAGACTGCTCGAGCACGGTCCCTTACATGCATACCATCACCCCGAACTCGACGCTTCTAGTTTCTATGTCAAATCGGATATCAGCCACGACGGTGAATACCTCGCTACTGGCTCCAGCTCCGGGTCAGCCTGCATCTTCGCGACGGCCCCGGAGTACTTGGACAAGAAACTTTACATCCAGAAAACCGACTTCCCGGAGGGGTCCCGCGTCCAGGCCGTTTCCAAGAAGATGTCCGTTGGCACTGGCGTCGTACTCGTTCGCGCGCACAACAGAGAAGTGACTGACGTGAGCTGGACAAATAAGGGCGACCTCGTGACCATTTCGGATGACTACCACGCCAGATGCTGGAGGAGCGACGATAAAGGTGTGAACGCCGAGAACATGAGAGAGAATGGTGAGGAGAATGGCAGAAAATGGGGCTGGGGGTGGGCTCAATTGGAGGGAGAGAAGAATGAAGGGAAGGATGCAGAGCCATCCGATGAGAGAAGCATTCCTCCCGTGAATGATCCCACCGACGAGCCTGATTTCCAAGAAGGTGAGGACGGCGGTACCGCCGATCACTATCCTCAAGAATAGTGATGATATAGAGACAGATATACATATAGATGGATAATCAAGGATCACAGAATGCGTAAGGACCTATTTAGCAACGATGCGACCATTCCGTTTCGCGACCATTTCTCATATAAAAATGGTCGCCCTCCCGTTTTGAAACGGTCAGAAACGCTCATTTTGTATGAGGCAACGGAACGGAACAGTCGTATCCAAAAGGGGCCCAAAATTTTTTTGCGTCCTTTTTTTTTATATTTCCTTTTATATTCCCCATTCAGCCCCTCTTCATTCGTCATCTATTATGATATCCCTTCCACCCTTCGATATCCTAGCTCTTCTTTTTCTACAATTGTATAGTTTTCTTTCCCCTTGGTTCTATTTCATATCATCATAAAAGGTCTGGCGGCGCTATGTATTTGTTCTTTTTTTTTCTTTCTTCCCCTTCCATGTTCGGGGTATACTCGATTATTTACTTCTCCTTAGATAAGTGGTCTCATCATGTATAGTACAGGCTAAAGGGTTCATTTTACTTCTACACACATTCCTACTTTCCCACTTACCCGTTTCTTTACGATTTTGGCGCTTCCATCCTTTACCATTCCCTTCTATATATTTTCTCTCTCCCTCTTTCGCATCCCACATCCCACATATGCGGTACGCTCATAATGTGCGTTTCGAAAATGTCCTTCACGGGAAGTGAGGGGGAAGCTTGAGATGGAAACACGGAAGCCCCCTTCTAAATTTCTAGTATCATACATAATATTTTACGAGGAAGTTGATGAGGGTTATTCTTTTTTTTTTTTTCTTTATTATTTTATTTCTTCTCTGGTACATAGTTTTTTTTTTCTTTCTTCTTTCTCCTTTGTACTGGGAGTTGTGTGGAGTTGTGTCGGGTATCGGTGGTTCTTCTGGAGCGTGGCATGTTTGTTCGGTCAGATAATTGAATAGGTGGCGGACAGGACGAGCATTCTTTGATAATAATATATTATTATGATGCATTGTCATCAACTTTTTCTAGCCCCCAGGACTTTTTGACGAGGCTGCGGGAGTGTTCATAGAGTGATGATTCATGAATGAGTGACATGCTATGGATGGATGGGGTTGGCTTGGGTTACACATTATGTCATAGCTAGCGTCTGTGCACTTTTTTATTTTTATTTTTATTTTTATCAGATGTTGTCGGTCAACTCTAAATTTACCGGTACTCTGAGGATCCAAATAGTCTAATGACCGCAACGCGATCTCAATGGCACTCCCACGGTTACGCACAAGATCGCTACCAGTCTTCTGCCAGTGCGCACAATTCCCTTTCAACCCTCCAATATCACTAAACTCACAAGCGAAGCGCCATTCTTCAACACTGAACGTTGCATCCGCTCGAGCGTATTGTCTCGACCTCCTTCGGTTCCCCTCCCCCCCCTTCCACTTTTCCCCTGAGAAGGCTAACCCCCTCCCTCCCAGAAAACATGACAAACCCTCCCACCTCCTCTCCGTCTTCCAACCAGACTATAGCAAAGACACCTACCTCTCCCTCCGCGCCTTCAACACAGAAACTAGCCTAATCCCCGACCAAGTCAGCAACACGACACTGGGTCGCATGCGGATAGGCTTCTGGCGGGACAACCTGACAAAGCTATTCTCACCCCCGTACACACCGCCGGCAGAACCAACGCTCCTCCTCCTTGCCCACGCTGTCTACTCCAACAACGCAAAGCTCACAAGGGGCTTCCTGGCGCGCGTGCTCGCGGAGCGTGAGAAGTACCTTGGCAACGTCCCCTTCCGCAGCGTGCCGGATCTGGAGGGCTACGCGGAGGGGACGTATGCTAGCTTACTGTACTCGACATTAGAAGGACTCGGGTTGAGGGATACGGGGTTGGACCATATCGCTTCGCACGTCGGCAAGGCGGAGGGCATTGTCGCGACAATTAGGGGGTCGGCGGTGTTGGCTGGCGCTGAAGGGGGTGGGGCGGTGGTGTTACCATTGGATGTGTGCGCCGAGGTGGGCTTGCGGCAGGAGGATGTTTTGCGCAGGGCGCAGGGGAGGGTGAGGAAAGGTGGAGGGGATGGCGAAGATGCGGTGGGGAAGTTGAAAGAGGTAGTGTTCAGGATCGCGACGCTGGCCAACGACCACCTGATCACTGCGCGGAAAATGGTGGCGGAGGAGCCGGCGGCGAGGGGCGTGGCGTTTTCGGGTTTTATGCGCGCGGTGGGTGATGGCTTCGAACCTCCTTCCTGTCCTCCTTTACCTTCTCTCTCACCTTTCCTTTCTTGCGCTTCTGAGGGCTAGTCTAATGGGTAGCACGGTAGGTTCCCACGGCCATATACCTGGAAAGACTAGAAAGGGTCGACTTCGACCCCTTCGATAGTCGGCTTCAAAGACCGGATTGGAAGTTGCCGTGGAGGGCGTATAGAGCTTATACCACTCGGAAATTCTGATTTGGTATAATGTCTGACATGAGAGGCAGGGGGGGGGTATTTGTTTTTTATCCTTCGGGACCTCAATCCATCAGACACGAGAGGTGCTTTACAGTCCCCAGATATGCGTAGTCAATACAATGAGCAAGAGTCATGTTAACGATTTCCAGAAATAGGTTCCATTGATGCATCCCTCAATTACCATCGGGCGTCAAGAAACAAGCACCATAATTGAGATCCTCCCTCCCTCCCACCGGCACTCCTCATACCTCCAGCCCTCCCTTTCTGCCCTGAAACAAAGCACGGTAAAACTGAGTCGAGCGTAGGCAGAATAAAGAGGGGAAAACAAAAGCAAGAAGAAAAGTCATTTGAAAAAAAAAACTAAAGATAGTATTATTCAATCAATCAATCCACTCAATTACCCATTGTAAAAGAAAACCTTCCTTCCATATTTTTTCTATTCTTCCTTCCCTCCTCACTAACTTTTATACAAAAACCGGACCTAAAGAAAGTGAAAGAGAAGCTTCAAATGCTCCTACCCGATCAGGACCCCCCTGCGGGGAAGGAAGGAAGGATGAATGAATGAAAAAACGAAGAAAAGACCAAATGACTAATCAAGAACACAGCTCCCGTAGCGCCGTCCAGAAAGACAAGAAAACAAGAAACGAATAGGGTAGGCGAAAGAGGAAAAGAGAGAGAAAAAAGACGATAGGTGAGATGGTGATGATGATAATTTCCAACCAAAATATGGGGGAAACTGGGGTATGGTTTCAAACACAAAGTAGGAATGCAAAAACGCGGCGATTCACAAAAGAGAGTTACAAGTGAGCGAACGAGAGAGAGGGGGACAAAGGGAAACAGTACGTAATGTAATGAAAGCCGAAAAAGTGCGCAGTCGGTGCCAGTGCTATCCATTGCGGGGTACAGTAATCAATGAATTCCGATGTTGAAAGGAATGAAATGACAGCCCCCCGGTACTAAGGCTGATATGATAAAATGCAAGACATGGGAAACGCCCCAGTGAAATATAGACAGTCCAAGGGCTAGTTACACGGGGTACGAACGAGGATAAATCAAATGCTATGTGGGTATTTAATAAATCATATAGAGGTGGCCTTGATCCTCATGGAAAAAGAACCTAAACTAAGAACAGCGAATCGAGAAAAAGGAGCCCCATGACATTAATACTGCATACTCATTAGGTATGTGATAGGGCGAAGTGACCATATCAATGCTGCTGGGAGGGCCCAGAAGAAGAGGTAGGAGGATTTGCTGTTGTGGGACTGGTGACTGCAGCAGTCTTCATCAATGCTCGTTTGGTAAGCGTGCTTTTTAGTGCGCCCAGCCATTTGGCCAACGACTCTTCATCTGCAGCTGCGAACCGTAAAGACTTTCCTTCGGTGATAACTTGCAAACAGTGTTTCTTGGATTTTGAGAGAGGATCAATTTCCACGGCATCGACAACTGAATCAAGGTGAATTATTTTGATGGCTCGGTACTCCTGTGCTGAATTAGCGACCCGAAGCTTGAATTATAACTATCGGTAGGCAATGCTTACCTCTTCGTTCTTGTAAAAAGCCAGATGGACAGTTCTCAATACTACCCAATATCTCTTCCATTGCTTTACACCTCCCTTAGATTTTAGACAATAGAGGTATCCGTGCCAAACCACTCTGGAATCATCCATGTGATCTGAGGAGAATCCCGACTCATGTCTCGTAACTCCAGGGTGGGGAGGCTCGGCACTGGCTCCAGCTCCTGCAGCTCCTGAGCTCGGACCAATCCCTGGATCAGGGTGTGAGAGCGACAATTGCGAAATCCTAGCGCCGTCCGACACCGATGAAAAAGAGCCAACCTCCGCCCCTGAATATTCCAAAGTGTGTGTCGAAATTCCGCCTCTTCCCATTCCTCTAACCTGGACCGCCCCTGGATTCGAGCCAAACTCTGGAGAACTAGACCCCAACCTCATATTAGGGTTGTAAGCGGTAGGGCTAGAAAGGGGATTCGCGGGGTCATGTAGCTGTGTCGGAGAGTTGAGAAATAATTCGTCTTCAGTTTCCACGATACTAGTAAGACCTTTAATCAATTGCACCCATTCCGTAGTATCCTCTGCCGATTCACCTTGGAAGTGGTGATTTTTGGATGGCGAGAAAAGCCCAAAGACGTTAGGTTTTTTGGCATCCTTGAGCACGGCAACGGCGGTGAGCTCGGCAAGATAGATTTGGCGGTGGATTTTGTATTCTTTTTGATCTTTGTAACACGAAAGGCGATCACCACGAAGGACGAACCAGCGGCGTTTCCAGTTCTACGCAACCGAATTGTTAAATTGTTAGTATTGTAACCATAAGCCAAAGCCGAAACAAATGAATCGCCGTACCTTTGTCTTGCGCGTCCTCTTCAGTAGCCAACCACTCTTGATCACCTTGTCCATCTGGAAACTGCCATCCTGATCAACAGCGGTGGGGTTTGCTCTGGTGCGCAAATGAGGGAGAGGGCTCGCAGCCATATTAATGGAAACGGGAGATGTCGGGGAAAGCACTTCTGCTGTCGACATTGTAGATGTTTATGGGGGTGCTTATTATTGAAGGCGAGTAGAAGGGTGGAGGCTACCGTGAGTGGAGGCCAGAATAGCTTCGCATTCCAAGAAATTAAATAGGAATAGTCTGAGTAATGTTCAAGGTTCCTCAAGAGAAGCGAGGCAGCGATGGAGTGAGCGGACTGTGTTTAAAGAAGAGCGAAAGTGATGCTGACTGAAGTGGAGGAGAAGGCAGGTGATTGGACGGATTGAGAATCGGGGTGGAAGGATGGCATTTCCAGAAATGCGAGATTTTTTATATATTTTATTTTCTTCCCAGGGGGGTGCGGGAGGAGGAAGGAGTGAGGGTAAGAAGGTTTGGGGAGAGATAGAATTGCTAAGGAGGCGTTATTCTCAGGGTGGCAGAATAACGTGAACCGTAAATACAAGCGCAGACTGTTTGATAATTAACTGAGGGAAAGTGGAAGGAAGGAGGGAAGGGGCGAGAGCACTGTAGGGTAAGCAAGCTATTGGTGCAGCTGCAGCCATCAGCTAAACTGGGGAAGAAAGGGATAGAACCAACGAAGTGTGACAGCTATGTAAACATGCAACAAAGGAGCAGGAAAAGAATAGAAATGCATTACTTTAAACCTTCTGGCTAACGGGAGGGCAATATCATATCATGATGCTTTTGCTCGGGTATTGTGTGCACAGTGGTTCATTGGCCTAATTTGAACCGCGCTGAATATAATAGGAATCTAAGTTTGTCCCTCCTTCACTCTTCTTCCCTTGGACCCTTTCGCATTCGCAGCATTTGTTACAAGTAGGAAGAAGGGATTAAACGGAGATGTCTGCAACACGTTTGAAGAGTCGCTTAGATCACTCTATTATGGTGTTAGGAGATACAGTCTCCTAACTGGTCACTGGAATTAACTATGATACGATGAGAATCTCAGGGTCTTTCATAATATTATTATCGATTTTTCACAGGATTTTTCCAAGATTTTTCTTTTTATTCTTTCGGCCGCAATTTCCCGTTGCCCGCTCTCTTCCCGTTAGCTATGAACCGTGGAGTCCCAGCCCCTACCGTAGCATCGAGGGAGGAGAAAAGTTGAAGGACTGACAAGTTATTGACCACTGAGAAAACGATGATATGATAGCATTCGATGTTCTCTCATCCAATAGTAACAGCGTCCGTCGAACAGACTGAGGTCTTACAGTCGCCCCTAACCATTTTCGACCAAGTGGTGGCAGATTTAAATGCTTATTCAATTTTACTATGAGAAGGTGTTTTTGGTTGCAACTGTGACAATGTGTGTCCAGGTCCTACTGGAATTTAGTATCTCGTGTGCCTTCCGCGTTGCTACGCTGAAAAGTTTCTGGGCCTCAATGTGGCTTATCAGTGTAGCACTAGTTGAGATAAATTTTTTTTTTTTTAATGTGGAAAAGTCCCTGGCTAACTTACCCCTCCGTGTGTAATCCACACATCTTGTTAATACCGGTAGGCAACTTAACTTGGGCTCCCAAGAAGGGGAGCAAATGGGAAACAGGGCCTCGAACGAGCAAACCACTTTTCTCCACGATTCCTCTCGCCTTCGATCACACACCCCACGCATCATCATACTCTTCAGCTAGTATTAACATATTCTTACATACCGGTACCTCGCTATGCCCCCTATCACTCCATCCCAGATAGCCGCTCTTCAACGGAATAGTGACAACATCCGAAACGTGAGTGTCTCCTCTATTCCGGGGCTCAAACCTCTTGGTGGGGCCAATGAGACTTGGCTTCGGTTGACATTATCTCTATCGGTATTAGATTTGTATTCTCGCCCACGTTGTAAGCCTACACCTGCTGAGCCCCGTCCACTATGCCTTCTCGCCACATCTCTTATCCCTATCTGGTTGGAAATACTGTCGAAAGCGATAGGTGGATAACTTTGGAGCTTTAGGATCATGGAAAAACGTCACTTAGTGATTGCCTCATTTCCACCAACGGTATTATATCTCCGAAACTTGCCGGGCGCGTTCGCTACCTTGACTCTCGTCCAGATGAACAACTTCGGGGCATTACTATGGAGTCATCGGCGATATCACTTTATTTCCGTCTAATGCGACGGGAGGCTGAAGAAGCCGAACTTGCCCCTCACGAGTATCTTATAAATCTGATTGATTCGCCTGGGCATATCGACTTTTCGTCCGAAGTTTCTACAGCCTCTCGGCTGTGCGACGGCGCAGTGGTTTTGGTAGATGCTGTGGAGGGTGTTTGCTCACAAACAGTGACAGTTCTGCGTCAGACCTGGGTTGAGCATATCCGGCCAATATTGGTTATTAACAAAATTGATAGGTTAGTAACCGAGATCAAACTTAGCCCTCACGAGGCCTACATCCATCTTTCAAAATTATTGGGGCAGGTCAATGCAGTCATGGGAAGCTTCTTTGCAGGCGAAAGGATGGAGGAGGATCTGAAATGGCGAGAAACCCTCGAGGCTAGATTGAAAGAGGCGGAAAAACCCAACTCGGCAAATTCAGAGGCTACTGGGAAAGGGTCGGGCACTGATACACCTACGAGTGGATACGAAGAAAAGGATGATGAGGATATCTATTTTGCTCCGGAGAAGGATAACGTAATCTTCGCTAGTGCAATTGACGGTTGGGCCTTTACTATTCGGCAGTTTGCTGGGATTTATGAGAAAAAATTAGGGATCAAAAAATCGATTCTTGAGAAGGTTCTTTGGGGGGACTACTATCTAGACCCGAAGACAAAGCGGGTACTTCAGCAAAGGCATTTAAAGGGAAGGAATTTGAAGCCCATGTTTGTTCAACTTGTGTTGGACAATATATGGGCTGTGTATGCATCAACCGTACTTAACAAGTACGTTTTCCTTCTATATTTTTTTTCCTCACTTCTTTTTTTGCCGTTTGCTTGTTTGTTATTCCAAGTTCCAATATATATCGTCAATGGGGTGTTTGAAGCTCATTCGGTATACTCCCTCCTTTTTTCTTCTTGATGTAGGGACCAAGAAAAAATCGAGAAGATAGTTAAGTCCCTAGGGCTCAAGATACTCCCTCGCGAAATGAAATCTAAAGATACACGATCCTTATTATCTACCATATTCTCGCAATGGCTCCCGCTGTCCTCGGCACTACTTGTCGCTGTTATTGAGACCCTACCCTCGCCTCCTGCTGCGCAAAAGCAGAGGATGCCGGCTATTGTTTCTAGTGCTCCTGGCTCACGGGAGGTCTCGGAGGCAGTTCAGAATGCCATGGTTGGATCTGACAAGTCAGAAAGTGCACCGGTTATGGCATACGTGAGTAAGATGGTTGCGGTACCAGAATCTCAGTTAAAGAAGACCCAACGAGTGCAATTGACTGCGGAGGAAATGAGGGAGTTGGGAAGGCAAAAGAGAATAGAGATAGCAAGGGCACTTGCATTAGAGAATGTAGAGGACCCTGGAAATCAATCGGGGGTAGGTACCGGCCCGTCAGATGCACCGCGAGACACCGTCGAAGAGAGTCGGGAGGGTTCGAAGGAAGCGCCAGAGGGAGCCGAAGATAAGGAGCATTTAATCGGATTTGCTAGGCTCTACTCTGGAACCATCAAAATTGGACAAGAGCTCTATGTATTAGGCCCTAAGTACTCTCCTTCGCGTCCAGATCAGCACATCCACAAATTTACGGTTACCGATCTGTACTACATGATGGGACGTGATCTACAGGTTCTTGATGAGATACCCGCAGGAAATGTTTTTGCCATCGGAGGATTAGAGGGTAAGCTGCTCAAGAGTGGAACTCTGTGTAGCATGGACAGAGGTGGTGTAAATTTGGCCGGGGTTGGTTTGGGGGCTGCACCGATTGTACGGGTAGCCGTGGAGCCGAAGAACCCTAGCCAGTTGAACAAGGTGATTGAGGGCCTCAAGTTGCTTGAGCAAGCAGATCCTTGTGCAGAATATATTGTTCAGGAATCTGGAGAGCATGTATTATTGACTGCTGGAGAGTTGCATCTGGAGGTAATTAACAAACCTCTATTACACCCTAGCATTACATGATTTCGGGTTGGAATACCTAGCAAGCATCTGCTAATATTCCTGGATAGCGCTGCTTGAAAGATCTCAGAGAACGATTTGCAAAGGTCGATATACAATCATCGGCACCTATCGTCCCATATCGTGAGACTATCGTCCCAGCAACAGAAATGTCACCCCCGAAAGATCCCAACCTCCCAAGAGGAACTGTTCAAGTAGTCACAGCATCCAAGCAAGTTTCGATACGGATAAGAATTAGGCCATTGCCGAGCCGGGTGACAGAATTCTTGATCGAGAACATAGGATCTATCAAGAAGCTCTATTCCGAGAGAAGGGGATCTGAAGAAGTAGTAGTGGCGGCTGAAAATGAGGTCTCAGCCGATCTCGAAGAGAGTGACGGGACACAGAAAGTTAAAGTACTGAGTCTGAGGGAGTTCAAGGAGGGGCTGAAGAAGTCTTTCGAGGGGGTGGGTCAAGAAGTCTGGAATGATGTGGTTGAGAAGATTGCTGCATTCGGCCCCAGGAGAATTGGTCCTAACCTTCTAATTGATGCCACTGGAAAAGGGCTTTGCCGAAAACTGTGAGTAAGACCGAGTTATTGCATTTTCTGCTTGAGTCAATGTGATTCTAATGGGTTACCTGCAGGCTTCACGACAATGCTTTGGAATCCCAACGCACACAGACTATAGAAGACAAAGGAGCCACTCCTGATATAGCCCGTGGGTTAGAGGATCGTATTTCTCACGCCTTTCAACTGACTACAGCCCAAGGGCCCCTTTGCCATGAACCAATTCAAGGCATTGCTTGTTTTGTCGAAGGGGCTGTCAATTCGCCTGATGACGAGAATCTCGAAGGAGCTGCGGCAAGAAGCAGGAACTACGAAATTATTGCATCTGTTCGAGATGCTATGCGCCAAGGGTTCCTGGACTGGTCTCCAAGGCTATTAATGGCTATGTACTCCTGTGATATCCAAGCTTCAAGTAAGTTTCGTTTTGCTTGACCAACCGCACCCCTGCTCAAAAGCTAAAAACCTCCTAGCCGAAGTCCTTGGGAAGGTTTATGGAGTCGTCACCCGGCGCCGAGGCCACATTGTAGCCGAAGAAATGAAGGAGGGGACTCCCTTCTTCACCATCAAAGCACTTCTCCCGGTCGCAGAATCCTTCGGCTTCGGTGATGACATCCGGAAGCGTACCTCTGGGGCGGCCAGCCCACAGCTAATATTCACCGGCTACGAAATGCTGTTTGACGAGGACCCCTTTTGGACCCCGTTTACCGAAGACGAATTGGAGGATCTGGGGGAGTTGGCCGACAGGGAAAATGTTGCAAGAAAGTACATGGACGCTGTCAGGGTTAGGAAGGGATTGCCGGTGCAGAAGAAGTTGGTTGCAAATGCTAATAAGCAAAAAACTTTGAAGAGGTAGATAGGGGGGTAATAGGTGTGTTGGGTATCATACTTTAATGCCCGGGTTGTTGCTTGGAAGGATGGGTCGAGCCATGGGGTTTCTCTGTGAATTAGTTATGATAGAATATTATTCAAGGCGTAACTTAATCCGCTGTCCGAAGTGGAGGCAGAATTAGCGATGCGATATGCATCACCTGGGAAGTGCATCCTTGAGGATGAGCTATAATACCGTGCTTACGAATAATTATCGTTGCTGCAAGTGGTCGCCCCTGTGTATGACACGGCACTTGGGGATTAATGGAAATGATACAAAGAAATAACATAATATTATGATATTATCATACCTGTACATCGGGAGGGTAATCTGTTACCATATCTGAGGGCATAGAGTGACTAATCCTCTTTATACAGTGTGATATGATATGCAGTAGCGAAACGTTAAGTACAATAGTGCCTTTTCCCCAAAGTTTTGTTTCTTGGTGACTGGAACATACATGCCAATAGGCCCAAGTTCCGGCAGTTGCCCACACTGGGTCAGTGGGCGGTATTGGCATTGCTCCCTTGCTGCCAGTTACAGTGAAGTATCATACCACCCCTCTTGTCCAGGTATGATAATACTTGGCACATCCGAAATGCTCTCCATGCACTCTCCTTATCTCTTGCAAGGCACTTGCACCATGTATTATCCCCTAATATATATGCCGATTTTTTCTCCATTCAGCATGCTCGGCGGACCAGGTTAACCTCGATATTTACAGGAGGCATTTAGGTCTCGATCGACCAGATCGATATGCTTACTCCGCACGCTATGAGCTCCTATCAGGGAGGTTAAGGTATCATAGCCAACGTGGAGTTTGTACAAGTAGGGTTTGTTCCAGCGGGAAGGGGGTGAGCCAGCAGGAACATAGTGGCTCAAAGCATCATTGCAATTCTGACGGACGGTACCTATCGTGGAATGCGCGAACAATCGGGGACCGTCGGAAGCCTGTTGCACCTCAGTGGCGCAAGAGCGGAGCATTCAAGCTCCTTTCCTGCGCGGAACCAATTGGGGAACAAAATTTCACCTGTTGCATGATACCGATACTCTTCTCATCCCAATTTCTCCGAACACAAAAACAGCTATAGGGAACTGAGAGTCATTGGTATAACGTTTTTCTTTCCCCCTTGGTGGGGTTGTGCTTCCTTCCCGTGCTCACCGCTGGCACTTTGTGATACTCTCAGTCGTTTTCGATCCTTTTCGCTCACTAGGATAGTTGAGGTAATACTGGGTGTTGAGGAAGTAAAAGTATAGCTAGAAAAGCATTTAACAAGAGTCCTCACAACTATTTCCTTATATCCCGTCACCTAAAAGATAGTATGCGTAGATTAAGGGACACAAGTCTATGTGCGCAAGCGGCCTATAGGGGATTTTTTGCTGGAACGCCTTCAAATCTATTATGGATATAAACGCCGTCCCAGTCTACCCATGTCGGCGCGACGTAAACCCTGTTCAAAAATCAGTGAGATTTTCCAGGGAGCGAGTATTTCATTCTTCACGTTCTTGTTAGTATCCCCGGGGCCAGCTACTTTTTTTCTTCTTCTCCCCCTTGAGTGGGAAAAATGCAGAGGTGAAATGCCAATATTCTAGAAGTCTTAGGGGATAGGATGATTTCGGTAACCTTTGCTGTCATAGTATCCAGAAGTGATATATATCCTTCACCTCGCCTGGAGCATTTGGGCTTATGATTGAGGCTCGACAGGTCGATGGATGTAATTTCGTGAGACCTACATGCTGACAACTAGTTCAGATGTATTTATTGGCTCAAGGTCGGTAGCGTAGGTCTATACCTAGCGGCCCCCGCACCTAGGTAGTGTTATAATGGCAAGTGGAACTATTGTCAGTTTTGTTTGGGTCCGCCAATCCCACGGTGTTTGCTTGGTCATCTATTCAATTGTCACGATATCCATGCATGTTCGCCTCAAAATGAGCCACCCGATGTCACCAAAAGCTTCATGAATTTCTGTACTATTTGCGGAATTTCCAGAAGCTAAATCCCAGCCGCCATGGTCTCATCATGTAGGTTCCACCTTTGCTGGGCTCCGTCAACGAGTGACAATCCATGCACCCGCCCTCCCTCTAGACCTCCAACCGCAGTAACCTCACCGCATTTCCGCCCAGCACACCCTCTACCTTCTCCATTTCTCCTGGGCCAAATGCATCTTTGATAGCCTTGTAGTTCGTCGTAACACTCAACCATTCCTCCTCCTTCCCATTCTTCTCCAGTGGCGGGAAGAATGGGTGGTCAGTACCGAAGAATACTCTATCCGCGCCTGCGACATCCACAGCCGCCTTAAGGCCGACTTCCGAGTACACAACCGCATCGAGGAAGATATTTTTCTGCAAAATATCCCACACTGTCCGGCGATTGGCTATCTTGCCCTCTCGGAGCAATTTTCCATCATGCGCAATGCAGCTCTCCAACCTGCCTGCGAGAAAGGGTAGCGTACCACCGCTATGCGCGAGCAAGACGTTCAACCCCTGAAACCGGTCCCAAACCCCCGATAAGAGCATTCTAGAGACCGCAATCGTGGTTTCAAGTGGAAACCCTAACGCTAGCGGAAGGACAAACCCGTACTCTTCACCGCCAGTGGGTCCATACACCTCCTTCGGTAAGCCATAATGTGGATGCAAAAAAACGGTTTGCCCAGCCTCTTCTAGCGCTGCCCAAACTCCGTTCAATCTCTCATCATCGAGTCCTTTTCCCAATCCACTTGTGCCCATGACCACTCCACGCATGTACTTCATCCCGGATAACCGCTTGATCTCAGATACGATCTCTTCGACGGAAGCGGAGACGGGGATGGCACCGAAGGCGAATAGTCTACCGGGAAACTTATCACATATGGTGTTTAGGTCGCTGTTCAGCGCTTCTGCCGCAGCTGCGGCGCTGGACGAGGGGAGGAAGTCCAGCCATGGGTTCGCTAGTGAGATTACGGAGATATCAATGTTGTGTATGTCCATGAAGGCAATCTTCTGGGCTATGTCGTAGTATTCGGGGCCAATAGGACGGCCGGTGGACATTGTACTGGGGGGATCTTCACTGGGCAGGACGAAGAGCCTAGGGGAGTTTGTAGGTGGAATAGACCGGACATAAGGAACTGTAGAGCGAGATTTGAGGACTACGGGATTTTCTATTAGAACACGAGATTGCAAGAGGAAGGGGAGGCACATACGCTCCACGTATGACGGTGGGTATACATGCGTGTGGATATCAACAATAGGCATTGCGAATATTGGTCCGCGTATTTGGGAGAATTGGTGCACTTTCTAATTTCAACCGCAAAGAAAGTCGTTGGTCAAGGTGGTTTACAGTAAAGTGGCTCATCGAGGATGGTAATTATGGCCAATCTGCTTACCCCGCTGGAAGAGGTTAAGATAGGAGGTAGGTGTATGGGAAAAGAAGGCACTTTGAATTGATAAAGGCGAGGTGTCTGCACCCTGCTGTATTGTACCTACCCGCTATAGCCCTTTAGTGCAGGTGCAGCACTCGTGATGCTCCGATGGCGGGGAAATGCGACGAAGCGGAAGATCCCGATCAAACCCCTCCTCTTCCCACCGTTATCGATAAGCTAGAATAGGAAAGGTCACTTTTTCCAGCGCCCTCTATCAACACACCGTACCCAAGATATGCGCCTACGATAGGGAACTCGTCATACCGCACAGTCCACCACCAAGTAATACAAGTACTCGAGTAGACCCTTTTCCTTTCAAACATAAGTTACCTCTACCCGCTCTCTACTCCCTTCTTCCGGAGCTCTCTACCAAAGACAAACACTTGATAGTACCTAAAATACCTGCATATTCCCTTACTCTATTCTCTTGTTTAGAGACAATCTTCTTCAATTACGAGATGGTGTCCTCAAATGCTATTGGAGCAGCTGTCGATCAGGATAGTTTGTTCATTGCGGTACAGTGTTACCTCTACTCCCATTGGCCAAGTTGATAAGTTATACTAAACTCCTTTTTACATACCGGTAGCTCATTGATTTCTCTCTCTTCCTTCATGGCGATGAGCAGGAAAGGGTGGCCGTTGCAAAGGGAATGGTAGACGGTTTCAAAGACGCTGGTTTCATGTGATTTACCCCTCACCTTCCTCGGGGATCTTAATTCCGGGTATTGTTAGTTAAACCAGTAAAACTTGGCAGATATATTAAGAACCATGGAATTCCCCAAGAAGCAATTGACCGAGTGTTTGCTGAATCGGCCACATTTTTCAAGAGACCTAAAGTTGAAAAGGAAGCTTTAGCATGGGTAATCACGTCACCGTGCCACTAAAAAAACTCTTCCCCCTCTTCTATCCCGCCGACTAATATGAGCGAGTGACCTCTTCAGACAAGTCCTCGGTCCAACCGTGGCTATGTGTCGCATGGCCGCGAAAAACCTTCTGCGGTCCAAGACAAAGCATTCATCGACTCCCTCCGCCTCGTCAACCCTGACCTCAAAGAATCATTTGAAATCGGAAGGGATGACGAACCCGAGTACCCAAACAACTGGCCGGAAGACCCTGATTTTGTTTCAGTCATGAAGACCTTCTTCCTAACTTGCAAAGACCTGCACATAGATGTCATGCGTGCTATCGGATTGGGGCTCGGACTTAAAAAGGGCTTCTTCGATGAGTATACAGACAAGGGGGATAATACCCTCAGACTCTTGCATTATCCCAGCACCCCTAAGGAGATATTTGTAAAGAATAAGGGCCAAGTGCGTGCTGGGAAACATACTGATTACGGGAGCATTACACTTTTGTTTCAGGTTTGTTCGCTTTACCTCATGGCTCTGTCCTATCAGAGCGCACCCTATCTAATGGACGTAGGACGACCGCGGGGGACTTCAAGTCCGTAGCCCGGTGGGGACCTTCGTTAACGCTATGCCCATTCCTGGCACAAGTAAGCTTTGAATTAACCTTGCTAACCCACTCATAAATATTGGCTGAGCCTTCGTTTAGTCGTAATAAACGCAGGCGACCTCCTCGCTCGTTGGTCCAACGACATAATTCGTTCAACTGAACATCAAGTAGTTGAACCGCCGATTCCCCCCGAATCGGACATTTACCCGGCTCGCTACTCTTGCGCGTACGTTACCTCTGGTAATACCATTCAAGAGCTGAATGCTAACATGAGGTGGAATAACAGGTACTTTTGTAACCCGAACTTTGATAAGTTTATTGAGGCTATCCCAGGCACATATGTTTCTGAGGCAGATAAGAAGTATCCCGGTATCAACGCCGGCGATTACTTGGCGCAGAGACTGGAGCAAACGTACTTGTGATGGAACAAATCCTAACCTCCCTGACCAGCTGTCAATATACCCGGAGGGGTGCTCTTGCTGTCTTCTCGTAGAGAAGTTTCATTCTCGCTCCTAGCTGTCGTGGGATTGGGTTTCGTTTCATCACTTCAACACCTAAAGTAGGCGAGTGATTATTAATGATTGTGATACCACTCATTTATTCTTGTGGTAATAAAACATGTTTCAACGCTCCTAACTCCATTCTTTATGGCGTGAGATCCCGCTATGCTCAGTGTTCCCACTTCGATATCAAAAAACAATAAGCTGCGCATTGCTATCCACAGTCAAGTCCCCCGGCAGAAAACACACTCCACCCCATCAATCCCCAAATAGCTTTAGTGAATGGTGAAGCCAAAAACTCATCCATATAATTCCCGTTCTGCCCCGTTCCCTCTTCTTGTCCTGCAGGCCCAGACCCAGCGCCCAACAGCCCACTCATGAAAACACGCCTCAGATCATCTCTCTTCTTCTTTCCCAGCCCGCTCTCCTCCAGGCTACCATTCAAGGAGAGAATCTCCTTGAGAATCTTGACAAGGTACCAACTTGTTTCCCTGACTGCTGTGCTTTCATGTCCGTTGGCGGAGAGAATCCTCCCGGCGCCTTCAAGAAGGTGGCACGTCACGCCTTCTATCACACTCGCTTCTGTAGGCACTCCAGAGTCGAGCAAGGATAGAGTTTGGGTAACTGCGTTGCAGATGCCCAGGCGTAAGTCCTTGGCCTCCAGTACACCTTCCCCCGAAGGCCCTGCGGGGCAAACAGCGGAAGAAAGGGCCTGTGAGTTTGCATAAATTGAATTGACTAATCCTGCCAACGTCTCTATCACCGCACATGCCGCGATTGTGGTATATTCATTCCTACCACTATCCCCCTCATCCTCGCCCAGTCCATCCCTCAACTCCCCTAGTGCGAATACCATCTTCTGAAGCGTAGACTCAACGGCCGATATAAAATCGTTAACGTTCCTCTTCCCATCACCGGCACCACTCTTCTTCCCTTTCCCCTTCCGCACCCCTCCTCCCCCTCGCCCGCCGCGTCTACGACGGGCGAGAGGTATTATCTCCCTATTCCTCCCCTTCACAAGCGCTGACACCACATCCCTCAACGCCCCACCAACGCCCTTCACCGCGCTAGCTACTTCAGCAGACCCAACCGCACACCCCAATATCCTCAAGGCGGAGACAAGCTCAATCACCCCCTCTCCTTCCCCTGCTTCATCACGAAAAGCTTCCCAATCCCCCTCTGTGTGCACGTGAGATGAGTTAGATGTGGAGGGGAGGGAGGACTCGGCTTCGCGGAGTTTTGTTTGCAGGTAGTCTACCTGTGCTGCGTGCTTTGTGGCTTGGCCGTGCCAGAAGGCGGAGGTGTCTATGTGCCGGCGGGATGAGGGAGCGGTGTGCGTGCGGAGGAGATGCAGGTAGGTTTTGATGGAGAGGGAGGGAGGTTTAGTTGCTAGGATTGTTAGGGCCTAAAAGGTTAGTTTGGTGATCGAGGATGGCAAAGGAGGAGGGGAGGAGTGAGGGTTACGAGAGCAGTGCGGGCTCGATCTATTTCGTGTTTTGGGGGGACAGTGGAGGGTTCGGTGGACATTTTGATGGTGGTACTCATATGTGAGGAGGGAAATCCTGTATGAGGAGGGGAGGATCTGGGACTGGATTAGAGGCTATAAGCACGGCTTTCTCATGCTCCAGGATGCGTCAAGGAGTCATGTCACGTATGCCACATGATACTTCCACGCAGCCCCTCCTGAGTGACAAGCATGATAAGGATAACTATCGCTACAAGTACTCATTATCACCAACATGGCTCTGACGTGGCCACCTTTCCGCCCCCCCACCGAGCCAAACACCTTCTTGCGCACCCTAACCTGTCCACCTACCGTATGCACTTCACACTAACTTGATATCATACAACCTACAATGGCCTAATCCAAAAACGAAATGCCACCACTACCTCAAGCCCCCAAGATAACCCCCTAAGTCAGGAAAAATCCATGACCGCCACCACCACGAGCAAGTACCCGCACCCCCCCCCCCAATCCCGCACTTGCACAAAATGCCGCCCGGAATGTGCTATATGCAATGTGTGGCTGATGGGTTTCATTCCTAGACAAAGAATGAGTGGCTTGTGAATGATGACTGGTATGGAATGATGGCTGCGCTGGACTAGGAAACGTGTATATATTGGCTCCTGTTGTTGTTGTTCTATTCTAATAATAATTTGAGACACTATAAGGATTGACTTCGGATTTCGCAAGCACACTATCGAGCCGAGTGACACAACATGTCCCGCAGTCCCACCCCGCCACCACCACTCCATCTATCATACCAATCTCACTCACCCGACCCCCACCTCCCTGAGAATCCCTGCCCTAATAACAATATAAACTGCCCGGGATCAATGACCCCTTGGGGGGGGGGGGCAGACCGAACAAACATCATCCGGGATCACACTCAACAAAGAGTATTCCCAATATCAGAGCTATAGTCACGCCTCCATCAAGGCATACTATCCCCTCAGCAGCATATGGAGTGCAGGGTAAGGCGGTGAACAGAACAGCACACCACACTTTCGTACATGCGACAGCGAGCAAATTCCAAGCGGAAGCTGGGAGAAATCGTTCGACGGGGAGGAGAATTTATTCAGTCATGGCAATTTTCCCATCCCCAACCTCAAGGTTACGATATCAGGGCTATGCCCTATGTGCGCGCAAACAGTCAGCCCTCCCGGGGTGTAGTCTGCAGACGTTCGAGTCCGGACGTGAGCCCCTAAAGCACGGTATTCGCTCCATGCGCAGCAGAAAAAAGGAAGGGATGAAGTGGGAATGAGGGGGTACGACGGGTCAAATGCTCCACCTAAGTGAGCTTTGAGCAAACTTTTTGGTAACAGGGGATTCCATTATGGTGATTTGTAGAATCAGAAAAGATCTGTAAATATATATATATATATATTGGTAGACTGCTTAGATTTCAAATAGTAAGGCTATATAACCGGCTAGGAAAGTGAAATTCTTGGTGCCCTGTAAGAATTAGAAAGATAGTAGTAGTTAACTCTTTATAATAATTAGTAGGCATAACGGAAATAAATGCGCTGCTAGGCAAAGTCCTAAGTAGGCGAAAGCTGACATCAAGCTTGTTACAATAGTAGTTAATGATAGGATTCCGTTACAGTGGGGATCACAAAAAGTTGACTGCTACCATCTCTATAAGACTTACAAAGTACCATGAATTTCATTTTTTCGGCCATCATAGTTAGATATCTTTACTCTCTGAAATCTGAACTATTTATTAACTTAGTACACATTTATTTTTTCACACATCACATGTTCTAGTTCTACAAATCACTGTAAGGCAATTTCGCTTTATGATACATGTTCACACTCAAATGTTCACTAAGGCGGCACATTGTCACCTCATAAAATAAAATAAAAACACTTAAGAAAAAAGAAAAAAAAACTAAGGCTCACAGAGTGCCAAGAATTCCCCCCCCCCCCTGGATAGTTAAATTTTAATAGCCTTACTTTCATAAATCTGAGCTACCTGCCAGTAAATTTATTTTTTACAGATCGCCTTTCCCAGATCTACAAACCACTGTAGAGTGACCCTACTTTGCCCGCCAGCACATTCAAGTTGTCCATCAAAATAAAGTCACTGAAAAAAAAAAAAAAATACCGAAAAAATCAAAGGCTTACAAATGCACTAAAAATTCCGCATCCTTAGCTATTCAGATAGCCTTGCTCTTGAATCTAAGCTATCCACCGGTATATTCATTTTTCTGGATTTACAAAGCAATCTACGGTGACCTCACTTTGGCGGGTGTGAAAAGTTCGCTGGGGTGGCAGCCTGCCTCCGCATCGAGAAGACTTGCTCGAATAGACAAATCTAAGGTTTACAGAACGCCGAGAATTTCGATCCCTCAGCTAGTTAAATACCCTTACTCTCTGGAATCCATGCTATCTACCGATACATTTAGTTTTTACACATCACCTTCCCTGGCTTCACGAATCATCATAAGGTGACCTTACTAGTTATCATACTTTGCATGCCAACCTAAAGGTTTGCTCAGGGTTGACTTGGGTGGGGCGTGGTTGTCCGGCCTTTACACTCGCACTCGTGTCTTCCGGGCCAAGAATTGGCACCTCTTTTGGAATAGTGCAGTGCGGGCCGACCCCACGAAAAGTATACTCTATTCGAGTGGCGCTTGAGCTGTTTAAAAGACTATGCCAGTGGCACTAGATAATGATATCCCATGAGAGCGATCACATCACACTTTTGAAAACAACTCTCACAAGGAATTGATCATCTTCTTCTCCGGCCGCCAAATTCACCTGATATGAAGGAAATCGGAGTATATAGGAACTACAGGATGGATGGACTCAATGGCGCGACATGGTTTTATTAGTAGCAGTGAGGAATCACGGTAGCATGCAAAGTCATTTACCTGTAGTCTCATGGCTAGAATATTGAGCTATCAATGTCTGTGATATTTACCGCTCCACCGGTACAGTACAGTACATGTTGGCAGTGGACGTATCCCTTTAGATAGCAGCTTCAACGCTATACTTTTCATGGGCCCACAGGGGCTATTCCAAAAGAGGTGCGGATTCTTGGCCCGGAGGCACGAGTAGTGTTAAGCCTTGCACCGTGATGTGTACTTGCACCTCCAATAGTAATATTTGACCGGGCGTGGGGGGTCAGGATGGCGCGGTGCTTTACAAGTATCATTCCAGCGAAGATTCCCCCGCACAAGACAAGCACCATTCCGCCGGATAACTTCCCTGCCTTGTAGGAAACACCTCTCCAGCACCTATACGTACGAGCGCAGGCCAGCGACAAAAGAGATGGACACCCATCCGGGCTCCCATACTATAGAATACCCCAGAGGCTCGGAAAAATCTACTCATTTGCTGGATGGCCATTTGGTATGGGGATCCACGTGATTGGGGACCATGTACTCGTAAGAGGAACCATTCCAAAAAAAAAAATTAAAAAAAAATTCCGAGTGTTAGAGCCCAAAGACGGTGCCAAGGCGAGCAATTCGTATAGGATTTCTTACACGCTGACTGTATCATACTCTGTTGCCCTCATCCACTGACCGCTGCCGGTAGTGCTTAGCAGAGCAGAAAAAAAATTCGCAATTTTATGCGCCAAACCACCTGTGATTCTCTTCCATGTGATTGCTGTCTGAAGAAAATTTGTT